CTCGAAACAAATGGTCAAATGGATTAGGTATATCAATAGAGCATTAAAAAGTGAAAAAGTAGTGAAAATAATACTACCTTCTTCTGTCCTTCATATATAAGAGCTGTCTAGAGACTATACTTGATCCTATTTTCCAAACTCATAATTTTTCATCTAAAATATCCCTATTGATTGTAAAGTGCTCCCACACATTAGTAGTTCCAATGTATATGATTAAAGAGAGTATTATGAAAAAGTCAACATATATTTGTTATCAATAACTAACTTAATTAGTTTCTTAATTTAATTATTTAATTTTTATATTAAGGATCAGAAATACTAATATGAATTTGGCCTTTTTAAGGTGATTCGACTTTAGCAAGGACCTCACTAACTTCTTCATCGCCTAATTAAGCAGGCATTTCTGATGTAAAAGTGACAGGCTTGCCAAATCAACAAAACCCAAAATGTTCATACATTTCCCATGATTGCTTATGAGAAAATCAGAAATTGGACAGAGACACACACATGTTGGCTCTTAGTCAAAGTTCCATCGGCTGAGAAGAAAAAAACCAAGGGTTGTTCTAGATTGCTATCTATTGAACACAATTTATACAAAGAAACTGGCAAAACTATTGCTATAAGCCTTAAAACTGAAGGGTTTTAATGATCTTTTTAATTTGATTAGATTTTAAGAGAATAGATAATTATGATTTTGATACTACGTCTTATCCGTTCAAAACCTTAAAATAATAGGTGCAATTAATGGTTTTTTTAATTAAAATTTTTTGTTCAACTTTATCGGATATGCATAACATCTTTTATATATAATTCGAGCCTCACATCACTCACCATTGCAGTTGTTATTATTATTATTATTATTATTATTTGATCTCTGCGGAGCTAGTCAAATAATCCTGTATAAGTTTAGTTGTTAATACCGCCTTTAGCATTTTTAAAATTAAGGTTGCTGAGCTGCACTTGTTTTGCAGGTTTTATAATTAGCAGTTGGGATTCTTTCCCCTGTGTTGTGATATTATATTATTTGATGATAAAAATTAGGTCACCCAATCTCATCCATCGTCTCAATCTAAGGAGTAGAGACTTGCATTTAAAAAAAAAAAAAACCCAGTATGCTTGGATCCAAACTCATTGACACAAAAAAAAAAATCACAAAATTTGGAACTTCTTGCTTAATAAATTCGTCCCTTTACCCCTTTGACAGTGATATGCTAAAAATAAAATCAAATATCCCTTTTTTCCCCTCAATGAATCCCTAGTATAATTAAGCTGAAGCAGACCTCTACAATGGTCATAGCACTAGGTAATTTTATTTTTCTAGGTCATTACTCCAAGTCACAGACAAATTTAAGTATACTCACACAAAGGTACATTAACTATTCGTGATTTTCATAAGTTGCTTTTGTTGGGTTATCGTTTAGTAATTGGTTAAAGAAACATAAATTAATGTCTAGCAACGAAATACAGTTTCGTTCATTGTATGGTGCAAGATACTCCCATCCACTTCACATCGCATATGTCTATGTACCCCTACCTCCCAACAACAAGATGCTATTAACTTTATATATGTCTGTGTGTGGACTTCGACTCGACGGCGCTCACACACACAGACACATATATATGCTGCTACGTGAAGAATAATTCGAATAAACTAAAACTTAGTCCAAAGCATGTATATTATAATTTATGATTTTGGACGTTGATATTTGGGTTGTTTAGTTTATAAATATGCAAGTTCGTATTGAATATATATATATATATATATATATATATCTACTTAGCTAATTGCCCCTCATACTGACTGGGTATAAATTAAATATACTCATGATCGAATTCAATGTATCCAACTTACTTGTATTCAGAAGTATACGAATCGATAGATTATTCTTTTCTTTTATACTCTTTTTCTGTTAGCCTGCCCGTTGACGTAGCCCATCATCAATTAATAATTCCTTCTAAATTTAACTAACAAATAAAAACTCATCAGGTCAACTATATCTCAGAGAGTCATAAGCCTTATCAAGTTCATTGCTTAGCAACACGGATCATTTATTTGATAGACTAGTTCCAAGAAGAGGGGATGCGTACAGGCAGTTCGTTGATTAATCCAACCGTAATTTTCATAATTTTCTTTGCAACTTCAAACCGTTCATATCACTTATCCATCCCATAAGTACGTACCATAAAAAACTTTGATCATGATCATCAGTTCACTGATGAGTTATAAGAATAGGAAACCAGATTATTATCAACACTATCTTTAAGAGCATAACCCGTAGTTTCCTGGAATAGTGCTCTCTCACTTCGACAGAATAGTATCAATATATTTCACCAAAAATAAAAAAAGAATCATATCAATATAATCACTGGCTTCTCAATTAATAATAATACGAGCCCAAGACATATACTCTTCTGATATTAAATGTAAAACCCGTCTTATAGTATAATTTATATTACAAGATGAGTTTTTCATTTATGATTAGAAGAATATCTCTCATGTCGGAATAGTTGATGTTTGCTCACTTCAATGAAGCAGGTCAACGATCCCCACATAAGCCAATGGCAAATGAATCAACGCATGACTTATCAACTTGTCCTGTGGTACATATTTTAAGACGTGAGGCAGACCAAATGACAAGAATATACCTTAACCTAGCTAAACTTGTTGGCAGCAAGTAAGACCTAAAGACCTGTACGTCTGGGTTGGTGCAAAATTTATAGTGTTCAGAGAGATTTCTGAAGTCGTTACCAGCTCCTTCAAACCTAAATTTCATCGCTCTGATAATGGGCATCTACTGTTAATCTTCCTGAAAAACACCGACAATCAGAGAGGATAAATTTGTTATGGACTTTATAATCTTATAGATGTATCAAAACCCAACTCCCATATATAAATATACATATATATATATTATAGGGTTTCAAAGGAAGGAAAAAGAGAGAGAGAGAGAGAGAGTCCAAAAGTTCAATTTGCGTCGGTGGATGAATGTATGGTGTTTGAATGATAAAAATCGCAGTGTCGTGATAAGGAAAAAAAGGGAAAGGGGGGGATGGAGTAAAGAAAAGGGATATGGCGCCAGAGATGGGAGATGCTTGAATTGAGGGAATTATATGTGAAATTCTAAGTATGAGTCTAAAGTGGGGGCCAGGGAGCCACCCAATTTGGGGAACCAAAAATAGTAAATTGGGTTTGGGAGCTTTTCCCAGAGCTTCCCAGTTTCCCACTTTAATTTGTTTGTTTCCTCAAAATATACATCAGACCCTATCAAATGTTCCATGTCTTTTCTAAATCTACCCTCTCCTCCACTCTCTTTCTCCTTTCTCACAGACACTAAGCCTTGCTGCTATACTATTCCTTGCTTTTATCTTGCCATCCTCAATCGTCTTTCATTGTTTATCTCACTACGAGTGTTCTCACTAATTAATTATTGTCATGTAAAATCCATATAAACACACATCATTATATTCACAACCCATGAATGGTCTGGCCTTTGGATTGTGTTGCACATATACAACAAAGGTTTTGATGAATTGATTATATCTGAACATCTCTTCTTTTTTAATTCCAAATTTGAAAAAAGAAATAACCAAAAAAAAAAAGCCTACTACACGTCTGAATAAAATACTTTGCGTAATCATATATGTATATATATTTAAAAAAAATCTGTTTCATAAAAGTTCAATTTCTAAAGTTTATGTTGAATACCGTGGGCGTATATTGAATTGTGCGCGTCGAATAATAATGAATTGGTAAGGAATGGAGAGCTAATTTTCAGAAATAAGCGTGGCTGGAGCCTCCAGGTAATGATGTTTTACTTTTGTCATCCTAATTATATCCGCTTTGACAACGTTAATAACACACACATTTCCCCTTAATTGGGCGGATCAATCATATAGGGCGAAAAAATAGCATATAGAATTACCTATCGCCAAATCTAACGTAACTTGCCAATGCTTTTTTTTTTTTTTTTCAATTTTAGTGTGATTTTCATACTGCCCATGCTTGCTTTGACTCCACTAAACTTTTTTCACATTTGGGTTAACCTGACCAATCGCAATGCAAAACCTGCTTACTTTGGTCCGACACAGCTTTTCACTTTGGGATAACAAACTTTCTCGTTTTTCTACTTCCCACATTTAGCACCCATCTTCCTCTTCCTCTTCTTACTGATTTCCAATTCAGTTTCAGGCATCGAAATTCAAAACTGAGGAACAGCATGAAACAAAAATAAAGTGGGTGGGCCTTCACGACGAAGAAAAAGGATCAATCAGGCCCAAGCTGTGGTGCCCAAAAGATGGAACTCCGTCTCTAGATTTCACCAATATGGGTCAAGCTAGGCCCATTATATTATCCTAATATATAAGGATATTGTCATTCCTCAAATTAAAAGAAGGCCCCATAATTTTCATTTCCCCGGTCCGCATAAATCAAAGTGAATAATAAATTTTCTCTTCCATCTTTTCTTGGGTACATAATGAAACCAAACACAACTAATTATTCTGTACATCATAAGCGCACTGCACGCTGGAAGTCTCCAGTGCAATAAAGAAACAAATCATCAAAGGAAATTTAAACACCTCTGCTGTTTTCTAAATTTATTGGGAAAAAAAAAGAAGAAGTCCCGATTATGAATACTGGCGCTTCCTTGAAACAGTCAAATATGATAAATGAAAATAGCACATTCTCTAAATTAGCATGGACATTGAAAATAAAGAAAAGCTAAATTGAAGGAAATCCAGCAAGCACTCAGACAGAAACATGGCGTTTTACTGTTTGGTATCAGATGGTGTCAGTAGAGTGGCAGCAGAACCGGGCTCTCAAGAAAAATGAGATTTCGTGGCAGCAGAAGAACAATGCTGTGCACTGGAGTCCATAACATAACATGAGGATTCCACAGTTCACCCTGCATCATCGTTTTCACTTGGTTAAACGTGGGACAAGTCAATCGGTCCAAATTTAGCGATTGCGAATCACATGCTGCCACGTCACCAGGTTCCCCCTCCACTTAACCTCATTTGAACGCACTCACTTCTCTCCTGCTTCGTTCCCATAATTCCCATCTGCTGAAGATCTGCAACTCTCTTACCTTTCTTCTTCTCGTCATCTCGCCTCGCGCCCTCCCCCAATTCGCGTTATTTTCTCTATCTAGCGATGACCGACGCAATTGAGCCCTCCACATCCTCTCCACTGTCTTCGTCGGCGAGAGACCCCAGCACCGTTATTCATCCGAGGCGCGAACCCTTCGAGCATGGCCTCCTGCCCATCCCCAAGCTCATCTTCTCCGACCCGACGCAAACCCTAATCTCGCTGAAGCAGAAGCTTCTTGAGCTCTCCCCTAATCGGCGGGCCAACTCTGCGGCCATCTCCGACGCTCTGCAGATCTCCATTGACTGCGCCAGGCTTGTTCTCGATACCCTCGCCTCGGTATTGCACTCGGAGTCTGAACCTTTAGTTAGAGCCAAGCCGGAAGAAATCGAATCCGTTGGTGCCGATGTCCATGATCTGGTCTTGTTCTTGTACATTCAGTCCTACAAGAAGCTGCTTCCCAGAACGCACAAGGACTCTGCGGCCGTGGCAGATGTCTGGCCTTCCACCTCGGCTTTTGATGGCTACTTGTCTGCTCTCTCGCCGTTGCAGGTGATTTCTCCCTGAATTTTAATCTTTGTGATTCGGTGGCACAATCTGAGCATAGCGGAAATTGAGCGAGTAAATTGGGCATGGTGAACTTGCTTTTTAAATTGGTTTTTGCAAGATTCTTGTTCCCTTTTTCTTTTCCTTGGTAACCTTTGCATTTTGCAATTCTATCCATTGTCAAGGCTGGGGCTTGATTAGTTGCAGTTTCTTCCAATGACATTCAGACTCTCCTTTAATTTTTCAAATTTCATGTCATTTAGCGGCCTCTGCTCTTATGTCTGATTACATGAGATGAATAAATTTTGATTAAATGTATAATTGCAATCACTCCACCATCGAACATGGGGTCTGAGATATCTATTAGTAGTAGACATCTGATACAGTGTGTTCTGTCCTAGTTCTATTTAATTTCCATGTGTAGCTGCTGAGAAGCCTACAAGAGTGATCCTTCATATTATTAAGGTGTTTATCCTGATTTTCCATGATTTACAGCTAGTGCGTAGCAACAGTCGTCGATTTATGCCATCACAAGCTGATGAGGAGGCGCATCAGTTATCATATTTGCAAAAGCACCTGGCCAACATTCTGTCTCTTCTAGCTGAGCCTGTGGAGGGGGAAGGGGAAGGGGAAGAATCTCTGGTTTGTGAATTTATTGCATATGATTTCGGTCATTTAAGAGTTTGTAGCGGAGTTCCCCAGTGCCCCTTCCTAAGGAATGGAGCTTATACACAAATTTAGTTAATATCGCTGGCACTCCCGAATCATTGTGAATTCCATAAAACATTATTCTATATTGTTTCCTGATAACTTTTGATTCACATAAATTGGTCTTTACATATGAGAATAAGAATAATGTGCCAGAGCCTGTATTTTTTTTTTTTTAAAACCAAATTTATGATGCCATTAATTTGAAGAGAAACAGAATCAGATTGCTTGTGTTTTTTATATTCTTTTTGGCTGCTGTTCAGTTAGAGAGAGCTTTTAATATTTCTGTTGCTTTGGATTTTCTAATTTTTAAAGCATTTAAGGTGGAATATGTTGATATATAGCCACTGTATTATCCTTGTTTGGTATTGGAACAATTCCTCATTTAATTATAAGGACATTTTCCTCTTACTATGGTGTTCTTCGTAATGAGTCCCTTTGTTGTTCCTGTAAATCTAATAAGTATTGACTATTGACATTGTTGCGGATGGGAGACACCCCCATATAGACACCATGATACAGGAAGATATGCACTGTGAAAATATAATTTGAAATGCTATGTCATATTTGATGTTTGATCTAAATATCATATCTGCACTGGACATCACATGACTCTGCTTGTTGGAGTATCAATGACTTTTAGATGTTAAATTCTTCCACATTTCATAATCAACGTGTATATTTTAACTGCATTTGATAATTACAACGAAGGGTAATGCTAGAGTTATACTAACTAGTAAGGCATGGCACCTCTTGCTTAGGTATAGTCTATTGCTCTGTTATATCGCCCTTTCTCTGGGGCATGCCATATTGCCTAATAGTAGTCTCTCTGTTCCTTCTTCTGACTGACTCAACTCTGTGATATAGGATCTTGCTATTTGTTTAGGGTATGCAGAGGAAAACATATATTGAGAAGCCTCTGTATTGTGTTTGATTGTATGCCTTATTTAGCAATAGTGTTAGTTCTTAGTCCTATTGCTCATTTGATCCCATTGTTTTAGGTTTTAACTATGGATAGATTTGAGCACCTCGGGTTTCTAATTCAGTTCGGCGATAAGGGGTCTGAAGGAAGCACTTTGAGCCAATCATCTCCCTTTTTTGCAAACTCAGATCCTGACATGCCAGCTGTTCCTGTTCCCGCTGCACAAGTTCATGATTGGCTTCTGCAAAATATTGCTTCTTCTTTAGAAAATATTTCTGAAAGGGCTTCACTAAAGGAAAATGGACCTGGCAGCGTATCTGATCAGGATGTTGCTATGGTTGATGCAATTACTGTCCCAGTTAAGGCCTCACCAAGTACTAGAGGTCCATGTTTTATTGAAGGGATCTCTAAATCATCATACTCTAAGAATGTATCTGATATTAAAGGTTCATCTGTTAAGGTTTGTTCTGGTTTTCTTCTACCTAGTATTTTGCTTCAACTAAATTGCTGGCCTTTTATGTGTGTGATCTTTGAGTATTTCATTGAAACTATTCATCCTAGGTAGGCTATGTAACGCTTCACTTTCTTCTTTCTCATACTGCAACTTTGCTTGAAATTTCTGTTCACGAGCATCTGCTTTTAACTGACTTGAGCTTGAAACATCAGTTGCAGACAAGTTATGAAACCTGGTTTACTTTTAGGTTTGCAATTCAAATCGTATCATCATGTTCATATGCATGAAAGAGCTGTGACTTGTATTCTAGCTGACATGGATTTTAGAACAGAGTATTGGTAGTCGTGGAATAAAATGAAAGCTAGGTGTTACAGCAGTTTAGTATTATTGACAAATGTATTTTCCCAAGTCCATTCAACTTAATAAATTTGTAATTTGAGGAAGGTTTCCGGTTGAATATCTGGTTAGAGCCATAAGAAATTTATGATTTATTTTATGGCCAGTCATCTATTCAAGTAAAGTTTTATTCTTGTGAGTTTCTGGGAGCTGGAATTCGGACAAATTATGTATGAAGCAGAGATATGCTTAATGTTGGCAAGTATAATGGCCTTTACTATGGATTGTGATTTCTGGAGTGAATTTATGATCAGCATTTTACATCAAATGTATTGCCATCTTTGTTTTAAAAGTGGCCAGAGCCCAGAGTCGGCCCCTTCTTTGCTGGTTCACATACATAGTTCCACTATTCATTTTTTTTAGAATGACTATCTAAACTGCATTGGAAAAATTATAAGCAATAAGTTTGGTCATTGCAGGTTCTAAATTGCCAGGAGTCTGCTATTTACATTTTAGCACCTGTGAGATTTGCCACCGTCTATGGTTGTTCGGATGCTACTATTGTTCTTGGAGCAGTTGGCAAGGTAATAATAAATGAGAGCCATGTGTGATGCTTCTTAGAGGAACATAATTACCTTGTCCCTGTTTTGGCCTGGCAACTTCATAAAAATTGTTTTATCAATCATATAAAGCCTCAGTAAGAAAGTAAGCAATTGTTTTTTTAGACCAAATGAAGGTTAAAAATCACCTAATATGGGTGATAGCTAAACATCCGCAAAAAACCCAAAAAAAAAAAGAAGACGCCACACACACAGAGAGTGAAAACTCTTTGATATGGAACTTGAAGCCCTGCTCCCCGAAGAGAAGTAAACAAGTTAATGAACATGAATTTTCAAATTTATTTTTTTCTTCCTCATTTTTCTTGTAGAAGTTCTTTACAAATAGAATCATTGGCTGCTCAGCTGACTGTTCACCATTTGAGAATACCTTTTTATTGTGCGGTTAGTAAGCATATTAATATTAGAATGCTTCATGTGCATGCTGTCAGTATTAGGTAACCAGCTTAATAATTTAATGGCGATTTGCTGATTAGTTGCTTTTCGTGTGCATTAAACTAATGGTGGTTTTAGTTACCAAGGTGGAAGTTGATTTCCAGTGTTTTCTTTTCTTGACAGGCTGTAAGAGTAGAACACTGTGAACGAGTTCATGTGATTGTAGCAGCTAAACGTATATGTATTGCGAATTGTCGTGAATGTGTTTTCTTTTTGGGAGTGAACCAACAACCTCTTATTGTTGGCGATAACCATAAGCTGCAGGTGAGGTTCTTCTGCTCTTGCATGAATAAGGAACATGCTGGTCAATTGGACTTAGAACCTTAGTATTTACTATTATCTATGGTCGTGGTTATTGTTTCTGCGCATCTCAACTTCCTTAGGCCTCAAATTTGGTGCCCCTTTAGAAAATATAAGTTAATCAATAATGTGTGTGTGTGTGTGTGTGTATTAAGATGAGGCCCATAACCTAGTCGATTTGTAATATGCCCTATTTCGTTTCTCTGATTTATCCTTGGAGAAGTGGAAATGCTTATGCTTCTCAGTTCTTGAATATTTTTAGCTGATCTATTTTGATTCATTTCCCTTCACCATGTTTCCCCTTTGTTGGGATAGGTATTTTCCAGTGTAAGGGGTCAGATTTTGGCTTGTTTCCAGTGTGAGGGGTCAGTTTATGCAAATTGTTCTTGCAGTGGGTTGGCTGAACATTTCTTTTGATGAGTAGCTTGCTATAGATACAAGTATTTGCTCCTATGGCACTTTAAATAAGTTTTTTTTTTCCCTGTTCAATTATATGCTGCTAATGGGGGCATTAGCTTCTTATTGTGCATGCCTATTCTTCTTTAGAGTTTTTCTTCGCAATTCGGTTTTCTGCTTGAAAGTACTTTCTTGTAATGTTCTCAGGTGGCACCCTATAATACATATTACTCCCAGCTAGAGGAGCACATGGCTGAAGCTGGAATTTTGCCCACAGTAAACAGGTGGGATGAGCATGTGGCATTGGGTGCAGTTGATCTTCATGATTCATTATCTCATCCAGCTGGTGTCTCTGATGTCCAAGCTGAGTCAGCTACCCGGGTAGATCCTGATCAGTTCACTGATTTTGTGGTATGCCTTTCTATCTTTTATAGTGACTTGTAGAAAAATTAAAGATCTTTATTTTTATTCTGCCATGTTTTGTGGATTTTCACATGCTGATTCGTACATGTTTTCACTTTAGGAATATTTACTTTCACTGCTGCACATTGAACTTTGTGAGCCCTTTTTGAAAATAAAAAATGGGGGCTGTTGATTTTTGAATCTCCATTTATTTTGGAAGCATGCTCATTCTTCATATGCTTCTTTTCAACCATATTGGTTGGAGTGCAGATTCCAGGCTGGCTTGGAGGAGAGTCGACTGGGTCTACAAAACACAACCCATTCACCTTACCAGATGCCTATATGGCTTCGCAGCTTAGAAATGTATGTCAACTGAGCTAGTTGACGTCTACTGATTGTGTTTTGAAGCCTTTTGTGTTTAAATATTGAAGAATTATGCTTAAGTGGAATAGTTGTTTCAATTAATTGTTACTTTTTCCCTCTGTTTTGGGTTCTTTTCTCCAGCAAAAGAATTTAGGGGAGATCAGGCAACTCTTGCGGGAAGCACCCCTAGAAGAAAATCGCAAAAAAGAATTATCATCTGCGCTTCATGTTTGCTTCAAGGACTGGTTATACGGTAATGGTTACTCCTGTTTTATTTACTTCTCTCGCCCCAACAATTTCAAACTCCGAGGATTTTTTTTTTTTTTTTTTGATAACCTTGCTTGAAAATGCAAAGTATCTCAGGCAAATTTTGTATTGATGCGGTGCTGGCCCTCATCTTGTGCCCGTGTTTGGTTAATTCAAATTAAACTCTTAACTATATCCATTTGCTCTTTGAGGGTTTTTTTGAGCAATAAAGTTGTGCTTCGGGAAAATTTGTTCTGCTATGGAATGATTAGCTTAGCTTCATCAGTGATTAATGTGCTTCACATTGTCATCATTTTCATTTTTATGCAATATTGGAACCTTTGGATTTGTTCCTGAATTTACAATCACGCGCCACAGTTGATTTTGAGTGGAATTTTATGACAGCCTAGGTCACAAATAAATTATCTAGAAATTCTCCTAATGTTAACGTGTTCCATAACTGCTTGCAAGATAATGTGGGTGCCTGTGCTTTCCGCATTAAGTACGGGCTCTTGACTGAACATTGTACCTTTTTGTTGTTTTGGCCGTCTTAAGCCTGTAGTTTGGAATGATACTATTTTGGAGCAAGTGTGTCTAAATAATACTGTCCTTGTCATTTACCATTAGCAGAGCAGATGGTATCTTCTGACGATCATATGTTTACTAGTGTATGTTCGTTGAACATTCCTTCTTTTGGAACTGGCCACACTCTGACCGATATGATTCCTTGAACTTTATCTGTTCTGGCAGCATCTGGAAACATTCGGCAACTCTACTGTCTACAAGGCGAATGATCTTTGTGAAGCAACGCCATGACACAGTTAGTGATGGTACAGGAAGAAGGTTTCTAGTTTCGTTTTTGAGCTCCCTTTTGAATTCCTCTTGCCAATTATGTTGGCCCTACAGTTAGCTGAGATCAGATGACGTGGATTAGAATACCCACCTATTTATTCGGTGGCACTGGTGCACATAATGGGATCAAGAAATACATTTTGCTAGTCTGAATGTAATTTTTTTTTTTATCTTGTGAAAATAATTACTGTGACATTTTGTTAGCCTAAATTAATGGCCCTGTGAAAATTTTCACCACCCTTTTCAATATCTGGTGTTATTCATGTTCTAAACTAGAAGTTTTGTATTTTGATTCAAGCCTTGGCCACAACTGGAGTTCAATGCGAAACATGGTTTGCTGGATTGTAGTGCTAGAGGCCTAATTGGAGATCACGGGCATGCCCTTGGGATGTCGGGGCTGTATGTGTATTTAGCTTGCGTTGGGTACCCAAGGCAAAGTCCATCACATCATTATTTTGAGAGGCAGAAGAGGGCCAAAATGAAGGGTTTGAGAGTTGTTTATCGCAACGGCTGGAAAATTTCAACTTTACCTGATGAGTTCAGATTTTATATTATCATTAACAAGTCAACATTATGCGTACTCTTTCTCTGATCTTAAATATGTGAGATCTATTGGAAAATTTTGGTTTGATTCTAAATATAAGGTCTAATTTCTTCTTATCTTCTGTATTAATTATTTCATTCTCATAATACCTTTATTTATTGCAACATTTTTGTTTTTACGTGTTAATTTTAATAATTAAATAATAGGAGTGTTTTTGAGAAATTGTATTTTAATAATTGCAAATAAGCATCTTAACTAATTTTTTTTATCTTATAAATTAATTAAAAGGTTTTTATGTTTAGAATTAAGGGGAGTAATAACTTTTATTTTTATGTTTTAATATAAGTATTTTGAAGTATTTGTTTGTAAGAAAAACTATTGTATTGCTATTCAATGCTGTCAAGGAGGTGCTTGGTATTAGATAAAAGTTCTTTTAAAAAGTATTTTTTCACAAATTGAAATAAATTTTTTCACATATTTATTTCAAGAAAAATGCTTTTAAAAAGTATTTTTTTACAAATCAAGATAAACTCCTTCATATATTTATTTTGTATATTATAAAATCACTTTTGAAACTATGGTTTGGGTTTCATCTAAATACTCTCATTCGTATACTATAAAATCATTTTTAAAAACATAGTTTAGTTTTCATTCAAATACCTTCTAAAATTGTATACACACTGAAAGTGAAAATAAAAATAGTTAAAGGACCCAATTTTACTTCGCTTTTCTTAATCTCTCTCTTACAAGTTGACTTGTAAATACACATGTAAACTTTTAAAGGTGATTTATGAATAAGAACGGAGCCAGTGAATCTTTCCAGCATGACGTTCACTTGCCCAAACACATTTTAATTTGCAAAATTTAATATCATAAATAATAATCTCAGCAGTATAATTCTATGACGTAAACTAGTGCTACATAAAATCCCAAGTCTGTTAACTATGCTACATAAAAATTAGAAGGGGAAAACGAATAATAAAAACAATATGGTTGGGGGAATCTTGAGACCTAGCCTACCGGGGCCAGTTGGAATAGTTTCTCTGCTTGCTCAGGGAAGAAGGTAATGAACAAATATGCACCTGCACACTCACAGAAAGGCAAATGAAAATCATCGCAACCATCAAGAAACCATATTAGACGAAGCTGAAAAACTTACAAACAAGAACCGTTCCCAAAACAGCTGAGATTTTCCCTTGTATTGTCACCAAACCAGCTTTTCCAGCATTCTGCAACTCTGTGGAACCAACAGAATCGAACGTTCCTACAAAAACGAACCCAAATTTCACTTTCTTTAATCTAACGCATGAATTGGGTTTTGAAAGATGATTCAGTAGATTACTAAACCTGGCTTCACGGTTTGAAGGCCTGAAGTAATGCATGCTATATTTGAGAAACCAGATTGCTCTAATCTCTTTGCTGCCGCAGCAGATCTTCACACCAAAGAGGAAACAAAGCCCTCAAATGTTAGTAAGAACAATAAAATTGAACATTCATAGCAAGCAATATGGCATAAACTAACCTCAATCCCTCCTGGCATACAACCAAGAGTTTACTCTCAGGGGAAAGCTGGCTCTTAACAGATTGCACAAAATCAGGGTTTAATTTAGTGAATGGCAACCCAAAGAACAACCCAGAAAAGTTATTGTGCAGGGTCCGTTTTATAATGGTACCTGCAGAAAAAGATGAAGATAGATAGTCAGAGTGATAAAAGAGGGAAATGTATGAATGTTTTCAAGAGGGAATTCCATACCAGGATCATTGTCTTGATTTTCAATAAAAAGAGGCACGTGATAGCATGATTTTATATGAGCTCGTTCGAACTGGGTTTTATCTCTCACATCCAGAATTGTGTATCCTTCGACTGCTATAAGTTCTTTTGCCTCTTCAGCATTTACATACTTCACTTCAGCTTTTATTGTCAAGCTTCTCCTTCCAGGAAGTTTCCCTGGCACGGTCCTTGCATTGTGAGATTTTAATACCAACCAAGATGTCCCTAAGTTGCTGAAAACAGAACCTTGATCCCTTACCAGTGTGTTCACAAAGATTCAAACATTATTTGACAATTTTCCTTCATTAATTTCGTCAATAAAATTGAGTTTAAAATCTATCTTTCAGGATAAGCCGCGAGAATCTGTAAAAACAGCTTGATGGAACCGCATGTATAATGTATTGATATAGTCTTGTCGAGATTTTTTCCCCACTTCAGAAAATAAGGGAAGCAATTTAAATAACCCAGCCGCAAGATCGCACGAAAAAATTAAGCTAAAGATAAACATGAATTACCTGGAGGAAGAAAGACTGGAGCACAAACCAATTCCCGCCATTGCAAGATTTCTTCGCAGTATCTTGTTTTGCTTCCGATATTCAAGTCATCACTATTTCTTCATATTATTTTTGGGGCTATCGGCAAAGCAAACACAGACCCTAGCCATTGGTTTTAGTAAAGTGGGCCCAGTAATTTCGGAGAAGCAATGATCTTCTGCCGCGTGGCAACAAACTCGCACAGATTCGATAACTTGATTCAGCTGATCTTCGCCTCTTCGGGTAGCCGCTAACGCCGTTACCGTTACAAATATTTACGAGAAATTAGAATTTGCGGTAATAAATATTTTTTTTTAGCCACAAAAGCATATCTAATTAAAGCACATATTATATATAAATCTAATCAGATTGTTCCCCCAAAAAACGTTTATCTAATTAAACAGAAGTAACTTTAATCGATTAATTTTATTTTTTCACAAGCTAATTTTTCAAATAGGTAAGGTTATCCATATGTTTACTCGGTTATACCGTTTTATATTATTAAAAGAAAGCTCCCGTCAAGATCGAACACAGTGAGATCTGACGTGTTGGTAGACTTAGGTGAGTTTCTGTTTCTGTCATAAATAATAAATGTCATGTTAACACAAATAGACATGAGAAATTTTATCGTATATTAATAAATTTGAGCATCCACATTCATCAAAATCCCTACATCACATTGTGTTGTTTTTTCCCCTTTTGGCTCTTTTTAGCTCAACAAAGCAATTAACAATTGGTGGGAAGATAAAGACGCTCTTCGCCCATCTTCGTTACTTATCCTTGAAACACCTGCGCTAACCTTTTCTTTAGTTAACATCACAAAACTACTCTTCCAGTCCTAAATATAAGACTTTTATATTAGTGTGTATAATGATCTTACATTTAGGATCGGAAAATTATATCATTAGTTACTATTAGGTGAGAAATAAATAGGATATAAAACTCGAGATGATTCTCTTTAGCTATCAATTGAAAAATAAATCCTATACTTTGGATAGAGTTTGAAATGAATCATTTTAAAACTTTCAAATAATACGACTTTTTTTTTTAAAAAAAAATCGCATTATATGCACATAAATAGATTGCGTGGTTGTCCAATAAAAATACATAATGCTAGTGATTTAAATGTTTTAATAGTACGTCATTAAGTACTCAAGAAGATATTTCTTTTTCTTATTTTCGGTGAAAGTAGTTAAGAATGTCTGCATGTAGTGTTTTTGTATCAACTATGCTCCGCAACAATTGCAAATACAATTCATAATATGCTTAGCATGCAACCCACTAAGATCCACTGGGCACAAACTACGAAGAATAATTTTACCCATTTCCAGACTCCTTGGCAATTGGCATGCACAGAAAAACATTTATTTTGAACTAATATGAAATATCTAAAAACGTAGTTAGGTTATGCCTCGGCCTCCAGGTTGCTGCCTCCACTCAGTATTTCTTCTTTCCCAGTTGACTGAGGAATAAAAACATTTGATGTTTATTGACGCCAAATTGTAAATAAAAGCTACTACCTCTGTCTTTTTTTTATAAGTAAGAACTACCATCTCCTTTTTATTCCTGAATATAAGCAACATTTGTAAGTTGTTTTAAATTTTTATAACGAATTCCCTATTTTACCCCATTAATTACTTATTTTAATATTTAATATATTTATTATCTCATTTTTTAAACTATTATCTCTTCATCACACATTCTTTCTCTTTCATAATTTTCTTTGTTATAATACTTTTCTTATTCTCTTTCCATAAATAAAGAGAATTTTAAATAAAAAATTTCTAATTTCTACACATTTATTGTCTTTAACTAATTTTAACTAATAGTTTAATCTACGTTGCTTATTAAAAAAAAAAAAAAACAGAGGGAGTACAACATTGAGCTATGTCCCAAGCTTCCCAGCCATGTAGAAGTCATCATTACAAGGATAAGCATCAATTATAAGGTAATTCAGAGTGATAATTGACAGCAGATTATTGAAAAGATCGAATTCAGCAACATACAGGAAGACAGCCGAGTAAGAAATTCCAGTCAGAAACAAATGTTTGGTTCAAAAAAGGGCAATACAAATTCTCATACTAACATGAGGGTGTACTTATGAATCAGCACTAGTTCTTTTCTTGGTGGTGTAAGGATAGTACTCCTTCCCATTGTCGACTCTTGTCGTTTGACCACCGATATCAATAATTGAAGAAGTGACTGCTAAGGCAGTTCCAGCAGAAATTGCAGTTGAGATGCTCCTTCCTACAACAAAAAGGGCAGCACATTATCAATACATAAACACTTAAGAAAAACTGTTTCTACTACATAAAGCTGGCTGAACAAAATGGAGTTGGTGCACAAATACTTAATTGTTAAGCCCGCATCATCAATTTACAAACTAGATACAGCTTGAGAAATTATTTATATCGTTCATAAGTTGTGAATAGTTGGGATTACCATAGATTTTATGATATACATTGATATTAAAGGCGCCCATAGAGGTCCTTGACTGATGACCCAGGCAAGGCGCTAAATTTCATGCCTCTTTGACCGAGGCATAGCGCCTTATATAAATCACTGTTTAGACAATGCATCACAGATAGCTAATAACGAAGTGCCGAATTTATTTAAAGCTCATCCATTCCATTTTCTTTTATTTGGTTTCACCTCTATTGAGTTTAATTAACTGCCACATGTTAACATAAAAGTCCCATCATGCTGAATGATAAAGAAAGCAATACAACAAGAAGAGAAAAGAGTATTGAAGGATTGATGCCAAAGAACCAGCTAAAAAGACCAAACAGGCACGCAAAGAAATAAACAAGAAATCAGAACTTCAGTTACCGGGATTGGTTCCAATTTCCCAACAATATCATATTTGAAGATATTATTTGACCCAATATAGCAAACAGCACAGAAATGCTGTCACCAAAAAACAAAACAAAAACACGGAAATGCTTCACCAGCATCATATTTAAAGATTAGAGGATGAATTGGGGCAAATAATCAAAGCACTAATTTAAATTTTGGGAGCAATTATCAGCAACAAAAATTTACAGCTGACTTCAAGCAGAAAGATTTAAAATGTCACTATTAAAATGTTAAGTTCATATGCTTCCACACTTTGTCAGAGGAAAGAACAACCTTTGTAACCCAGAATAGTTGCTCCAGCCACAAAGCCACCAACAGCTCCATTCACAAAGTCTCTCTTCATCCTATACTTCTGCACTAACTGCTCCACACCAATGTAAACTCCTCCAATTGCAGCAAATGTCATCCCATAGTTTCCCATCATCTTTAAAGTTCTTAAAAGACCAGGAAGAGCAACATTTCTCTCAACACGGGGAACATCATACCAGGTTGCAACTATGGTCCCCCAGATAGTGCCAGCAACCAAACCCGTTGTTGCACCCTTGACAGTTTTCATTGTTGGTGTATCCTCATCCGCCAAGTACCTAAGTTCAGAAGGGTCCATGACTTCCTCTGCACAACAATGAAAGCTGCAAGAGACAAAACAAAAGCTAAGTCTTGGATGTCACTCAAACTATCAGAGAGGAAAGTAGCTATGCTGAAATACCGTACAAGCATAACTTACAAATAGAACAGGGAAAACATACATGGCTTGTGCTTACATCATTTTGGTATGGATCCACGACAGAAAGTATAGAATTTCAGCATTGCAATGTCCACGTTTCTAAGAGTCCATAATCCTTATGAAATTTCATATTTTATACTAAGCCTTAATGAGCATACATTTCTACAATATTTGCAATGAATGGTGTATATGGGAGAAAGGAGCAGAAGCAGGAAGCCATTGATAAAAAAACAATAATGCATTACAGTAGCCGCTGCCAGAAACAATAATGTTATTATCCGGTTAATACCGTCGATTAAGATTAAAATTGGCAATAAATTCATGCCCATATTTTGAACCCAAACGAGACGAAGAACCCAAATTATTTGGAGCCGCGCAATTTGTTGAATGGCAGTGAGAACTAGAAACATAAAGACCGACAAGAAAGAAACAGAAGAAATGAAAGACGCAGATTGTCATGACAATGAAGGTTCAGAATCATAGTCCCATAGTCAAATATTCAGATCGAGTGTCACGGCTCAAACGAGTATTACATAAAAGATGAGATTCAAAACAAACCCTAAACAGATGCATAGACGCGAGAAAAATGGATTCTCGAAGGGAGAATTTTCCGGCGTTACAATGTCTTAAAGGAAATAATAGTAATAGCAATAAACAATTGACAAAAACGAAGAAAATGCAAGAGTACCAGAGAGTAGAGAGAAGGTCGAAGAGCTAACTGGAAGGCGATGAGTGATGATGCTGTGCAGCTTTGGCCGCTGTGCCCTGCCGTCCCCGCGGAGCCTTGGCAGTTGGCAGTTGGCACCTTAGTTTCACGTGCTACTCACGTGTTCGGATGATCCCATTTTTGTCCAAAATTTTGATTATGAACACGTTAATTTCATTCATTCATTCATTCTTCTTCTTCTTTTTTCCGCCAGACTTTTTTTCTGTCCTCAAGAAAACAAACACAATTGAAACATGCTACATTTGGTGCCTGTTGGGCATTAAAACTCTGTCAAAAGAGTGTTTAAGTAAAAATAAAATTATGATTTTAAAAATATTTTTATTATATACGAAGTAAATATACAAAGACAAGTATCTCGATTAATAGAAAAGTTATTTTTAAAAATGCTTTTTGGGTTAGCAAACACCTCTCAAACTTATTAGTACTCCAAATTAATATTTTAGACTAAAGTATATTTCAATTTTGCACAAACAAGGTAATCAATACGCTAATATTGGCAACCAATGACAAAATCTGTATTTCTATGATTCTAATTAGTGTCTGACCTTCTGATCAAAAAAAAAAAAAGTGTCTGACCAAAAAAAAAAAGATTCTCATTAGTGTGTTTTTTTTTTATTGACTCCAATTAATTGATCGTTCCTCATTGAAATGAAATTACTCTCCCAATCAAGTCACAATTTCATCGTATTTCACAGCGATAAATTCTTAATTAACGTTGGGCTTAACGTCGGAAAGGACGGTTAAGTACCTGCGGGGGCGTTCGCATTCCGTGCTCATCATCTTGATGAGCACGGAGTGCTCAGCACTCAAAACGTGGACGTTTTGAGTGCTGAGCATGAGGGACCCTTTTTTTTAATTACAAAAAATATATATGTATTAGAATTATTTTTAGTTAAAGTTTATCTAATACTCTTAAATATTATTTTACACATATTTAATACTTCTCCGGTCCTTAATATATGACCCAATTCTTGAGTTGGTTTTGGTTCTAAATATAAGACTCATTTATCATATTTATTAATTTTCTCTAAATTACCCCTATGGATCCTCTCTTAACCATAATCAAGTAGAAGAGGGAGGTGAGATATTAAGAAAGATGATTATAGTGTTTTAGAAAAAATGTGTCACTTTTTCTATAATTAACTAACTTATCTAACTTCTTTAATCTAATCAAATTAGTTAAATGGGTCTTATATTAAGGACCGGATGAGTATTTTAAAATATTTTATCATATCCTGAAATATTTTCTCATATGTATTTAGTATTCTAAAATATTTTCTGACAATGCATTTGAAAAAATATTTAAGAATCTAGTATTTTAAAATATTTTGTGATCTATTTGGTACCTAAAATATTTTTTCATATATGTTCATTATTTTAAAATACTTTGTGACTGGGCTTACCTAAAAACATATTTTAGGATCTAGTATTCTAAAGTCTTTTATGATTTATCTAGTATCCTGAAATATTTTTAAGTATTCTAAAATATTTTATGATACAATATCAAGAAATAGAAAATTTTTTAAAACATTAAATGGTTGTGAAAAAATATTTTAAGGTACTAAATAAATCATAAAATACTTGAAGATATTGAAAATATCTAAAAAAATATTTTTGAGTACTAGATAAATGTTAACCAAAATAATTTTAATACATACTTCTTCTGATTCTTAATATAAGAGTTAGTTTCACTAATTCAAGTATACTACAAAAATTAGCTAAATTAGTCAGTTGTAATAAATAAGTGTTGTTTTCTCTCAAATGCCTCTCAGTAATTATGTGTATTAACTAAAATCAACAATTGATTAAATCTTTAACACGTACAATTATTATAAGGACTATATTGAAAAAATAAATATATATATATAAGAGATAAAGTTGATTAGAATATTATATTTAAGACTAAATTAAATATCAAGATAATTTTTATATTAATAATTTGAGATGGTATAAATTTTTTTGTAACAAAAAAATAAAGTAAAAATAAAAATAACAGCGTTTTGAGTGCTGAGCACTCCGTGCTCATCAGGCTGATGAGCACGGAATGCGGATCCCCTGCGGGGAATGGAAACCAAAGTAATTTAGGAAAGTGGGAGACCAAATGAAGGACAATTACTTGTGCAGCAGCTGACTAATGGTGCTGTTAGAGGCTTCAGCACGGGCGCAGTGAAAGTGGATAACGCCAGCACTGCTAATCAACGGTCTCCTCATCGTCGGCTCGTTCCCCAGAAAATGCAGACTCCCGATGACATTCGCAACCTGCCTATTGATATTACATTTTCTCGTCTTCTAGGTGGCGGATTCATCCATAAACTTTTACTCCTCTCCAACTCACTTTTACTCTTTGATTTTCTCTTTGTTGGGTTTGCTGATTGGACTAGACTTGAACTAATTTTCAATTTGGTCGAACTGCAGAGTGGTTGGTTGATCGGAAGAAAATACCCGCAGATTGGCGGAAACGACTGGCGGCGACAAGAGCACGCATATCAAAGGAATTCTCATCGCTCCCCAGGGATGCCGATCCCTATTTTCAAACCCTAGACCCTGAAGGTTCGTGTATTTGGTGCCATGGGCACGACGAAAATTATGCTTATTTTATTGGAGATTGGTATTTTATGTTTTTATTTTGCGCATAGATGAGTTGGCTGTTTTTCTCGTGTTCCATATGTGTTGGCTTAAATGATAACAAGAAAATAGAAGAAAGGGCAACATAATGCTTTTGCTGAGGATGAACTAACTTGCATTAGATGGAATTAAAAGCACTCTCAAAGCATTTACTTGGGGGGGGGGGGGGGAAGGGCTTGGCATCTTTAGTGATCCCTCCGTCATATCATGCCATAAAGATGTAATTTATAACCGTGTTATTATAAAACGGCTTGCTGTTTTCAGGGATTGGTTATTTGGAGGCCAGACGGATCTATGATATTCTCTTAAAGTCTACCCCAGAAAGCCGAAATATATTTGGCCGGTTATCTGGTGCTGCTGTAAGATAGTTCTCTCGCTTTTCCCTCCCCTCGCTCGCTAAGATTAACTCCTGAGTCCCCTGGAAGTCCGAGATTATTGTTTTCTTGCTAAATTAAATTCTCTTACTTATAAAATTACTCGGGCAGGGTGCATGGGAAGCAATTGTGCGTTCTTATGAGAAGGATAATGTTTTCCTAGGTGAGGCTGCACAGATTATGGTTCAAAATGTAAACTATGAAATGTAAGAATGAAAACATCAAACTTTTTAATGAATGTTGTATTTCTTGACTATTTTCATTTACTTTTTTTGAACTGACTATTTGTTTCAAATATGAAGTCCTTATCAGAGAAAACAGGTGCAAAAGATTCAACAACAGCTAGCGGAACTAGACCGTAAAGAAGCTGATATAAAAAGAAGTGCAGCTATGTCAGCAGCCAAATATGCTGAAGCTTGCCAAGAGCTGGGCTTACAGGTCACAACCATGAAGTCCTTTAGTGATGGTGAAATCTTCCTTTTTTTTTTTTGGTTACAAGGAGATAATATTGTTAGATATATTGCAGGGAAAAAATGTTAGATCAGAACTTTTGGAGACGGCAAAATCACTTCCAAGCACATTTAGCAGAATTTTGGAAGTTATAAATAGTGACAACATATCTCAAGCGATGGAGTATTATTCCAATGTTGTCAGAGATGCTCACACTGAAAAAGATGTGAGGCAAAATAGGCAATCTTTGATGTCTTATAAATATACTTTTTTAACAATGTAGGGATAAGTTAAGGGTTCCTATGGTTCATTTCATGCATTAACTCAAATTATAAACGTGATTGTAGAAATCTTCAGGAACTGTTCTGCAGAACTTGAGGAACATGCGAGAACATCCCCCGTCCTTAAATGTTTCTGTGGGCTCTGAGATTCTTGGTGCTGATACTGTTAACTTGAGTGAAAATGATGTGGATATTGCAAAAAGTATGACTGAAGTTGCTGCCCCTAATATTGACTGGGACATTTCTGTGGAGAGTTCACAAATTGATTGGAACATTGGAACTGTGGAAGAAACAGATGATGCTGGTAATGGTTTGGGTCCTTATGAGATCATTAATGCTAGTGATATTGTACAGACTTTACCAACTGATGCAGCAGGCTCCGACTTGACAACATCAAATAAAGAACATGGCTTGGATCTGGATATATCTTGGGATATTAGTGTCGAGACTCCACACGTTGATGTGATTGATGATGTTAGTGCCTCAAACGTGCCATTGGATAATCAGACTTCTTTTCCAGACAGCTCAACTAATTTGGCTGAGAACAAGGAAGAAAGGAGCGAGCTTCTAGAAACAGAGTACAGAAATAAGATTCTTGATGATCTATATGAGGTATACGTTACATACGCACACTTGATTAATACTATTGTTGTTGCTGTTGCGATTGTTGTTGTTATTTTTACTTTGGTATTTCAATTTTCTAAGTTTGTGCACACGATAGATCTAGCACATAATACTTGCCTGTTTTGGTTGTTTTCTTTTTCCCTCTTTCTGCTTGCAAACGGTCATCCTGCACATGATGGACTGGTTAGTTTGATATTGTTGTTTTTATACCCAGATTAAGTCTTAACAAATTTTAATGATATCAATAACTTCAGTTGAAAGCCTTTTTAACCCAACGGTTGGCTGAGTTGAGGAACGAGGAAACTTTGTCCCTGCAACATCAAGTCCAGGCAGTTGCTCCCTTTGCCCTGCAACAGTATGCTCCTGATGCCATAGAAACAATGCAATCTGATGTTCACCTAGCAATTTCATTGCTGACAAATAGGAAGACAAGGGATTTGATTTTGATTCTCAACTCCAAAAGGTTATATTTCATGCTTTAAACCTAATATTTCATGCTCATTTATATTTATCCTGTTACTTTTTGTAGATTATGGCTTCTTATAAGTTGTAATGACTAGCATTTTCTGCCAAATATTTTCACATCTCTTTTCTTTACTTTGCCTATGAATTTTCGCTTGTGAAATGCTGATTCATAGAGCTGAATCCTGATTGTATCACATTTTAAGCACTATGATAACTCGATAGAGCTGATATATGATCCCCTGAGAGAGAAGCTGATTTATAAAGTTTGCCCATTCAATTGGTTTTTCCAAAACGGAGGTGGTGGTTTAAGCTTAAAAAGCATAAATTATTGAAGTGATTGTTTTTTAGAGAAAAAAAGGCACGTGAACTGGTTCGACATCAAACCGTAGTTGAATGTAACATATCTACAAATTTTTTTATGTATCTTTAACAAAAGAGAATTAAGAATAAACAGGTATAATCTTCCACCATTGATCAACTTGGTAAGCATGCATATGATGTTCTAATGTTTTTTTTTTTTTTTTTTGGGGTGAAATGATGTTCTATTGTTTCGTACATTTAGAATATGGTTTTTTCAGTTTACTGCTTTTTTATAAGCTGAGCCACTAGTGAATTCAAACTTCAAAATGCCAGATCTATTGCTTAACTTGCTTTTGATCTTTGTGTTGATTGTTTTGGTATTGGGCTGGAATTCAGATTCTTAGACAGACTAGTCAACTCATTGGCGGAAAAGAAGCATCATGAAATGAAGTTGAAAGAGGGGTTGAAGGACGTGGCTACCAAACGGATGGAGTTGCAGAACTCTTTATCTTCATCGTGGCCAAAGCAAGTGAGTTCCATTGACATGTGCTTGATCTTTCTTTGATGTCAATATATTCTAAGCGAAAGGATTTAATTTGTGCGTGGAATGCAGGATGGAGCTCTGGCAAAGACAAGGGAGCTGAAGAAACTGTGTGAGGATACACTTTCATCCATTTTTGACGGGAGACCTGTAAATATAATTGGAGAGATTAATGCATTGCTGTCTGCTGGCCTTGGAGCATGAAGAAGATAGCTTTTCTGCCTTCATGAGGAAATTTGCTGAAGTAGGAGACGTTTTATTGGGTAAAACATTTCTTTCCTGCTTCTACTTAGCATCAAGTTCTGGACAATGCAGAAATCCCTTTTTTGTCTGCTATTGGTTCTGAATTGTACTGATGCTCATGACATGGGTGGACAACGATGTATCGTCTGATTTAGATCGAGGGGAAAGTGGTCAGTCGCTTTGATTGGCAATTATTACGTGATATACCTATATATATATATATATATATAGAGAGAGAGAGAGAGAGAGAGAGAATCGTCTTATTTGGTAGTACGCAGAGAAGGAATCCAATAATGGCGCGAGTTTCCAACAACAGGCGCATATAGTCGAGGACTCTCTCAAGTCTGCGTGTTTCACGGGCTGAATAAAAATGTTAAAAATAAAAGTAAACTCGTAAACTAATAATCCTAATAACTTGATCTAACGTAAAAAGGGAATAATAATTAAATACCAGGTAAAATAAATGTTGGGTTTTGTAGAAGTTGGTAATTAAAGAGAGATATAGTCTCAATCACTTAGTATTTAAAAATATAGATAAAACCCAATTGATTAAATAATTTCTCTTTCTTGTTGCATGTCCCCTTATAAAACATTGAAAGAAAAAGATGAGGAAAGAAAAAAGCATATGTATATGGCATTTTTCACAACTGGAATACGCAGGTGTCACCCGTCTGGAAACTTTGTTCTAATTATGAGGATGATCACGCTTAAGCTATGCAATGCACAACGAGGATCTGCTACATTAAAAATCTGTATCTCAGAAGAATTTACACTTCAGAACAAGTATTTGGTTGCTTTAGCAGTCAAGGACATCATTTTTTTCGACCGAAGCAATTAAGGAGATGGGTCAGGCGGAAACGTAGCTGTAAGCGGGGGAACCCAGAAAGCGAGTATTGGTTGAACGGAAAGACTTGTCAAGGGGATCCAAGTCGGAAATATCTGCTGCTGCACCTCCACTCCTGGACATGACCTTGTTAAACTTTTGTGAACAGATTATAAGAGAATCAACCACCTCCGACATTGGAGGTCGGAATTCCTTCACGGGCTGTATGCAGAGGGAGACGATATCAGCATAACGAGAAAGAGCTTTGGCTGAAACAGTCCCTTGAATTCCTGGATCCACCATCTGTTCCAAACTCTCATTGTCATGAAGCCTCGATGATGCCCATTTCCCAAGGTACTGTTCCTCCCTTGGCCTCGAACTGTGTTCAGATGCGGACATCATTCGTCGTTTAAAAGAAAGAGACGCAGGCAAATAAAAGGATGGTGTAGAGAAGAACATACTCATCGTAAGGTTTCCGTCCCGTTAATAATTCCAGAAGCAACACCCCAAAGGCATAAACGTCACTCCGTGTGTTGCTAATTCCTGGTTGGCCGTGGTCTGGTGCAATGTAGCCTGCGTCTTCAGTTGCAAGCTCAGAACCCTATTTCCAACAGTCACCGAGGTATTCAACACACGTGGTAGTCAGTGGTCACTCTTTTTGGTATATTTCGGAAAAACAGTCAGCTTCTGGTTTATTGTGAAAACTTGTCATGCAACGTAAATTATAAACCAACCGTGACGAAATGTAATTATTCTCAACATGAGACTGTTTGGAGCAGGGACTTACTTTGACTTTGTTGCTCGTTAGCGGTCTCAAAATAGCTAGGCAACAGTCACTGACGCGGGGCGTCAGATTTTCGTCGAGAAGGATGTTGGCAGCCTTCAGGTTGCCGTGGGCCACAGGAGGGGAGAATGTCGAGTGCAAATAGCTGAAAGAAAGCATTTGCATATACATAACCAGGATTTTTTTTTTTTTGGGTGAATATATTAGCGGGATTTGAGACACTAAATAAATGGCTAGAAAATCACAAAACCAAGGTATGATCGGCAAATATTCGAGAACTCACTTCAGAGCCTGAGCAACACCAAGGGCAATACGGAGACGGAGGACCCAAGATAAAGGCTTGTATGCGTCACTGTGAAGAGCATCGTCCAGAGTTAAGCTTCTAACATAGTCGTGAACAAGAAGATGCTGCCCGTGCTCCATACAATAACCATTAAGCGCAACGATATAGGGGTGCCTCAGACGGGAAGTGGTGGAAACGACGTCCAAAAACGTTTCCTCTTCGTGGAAAGACAGGCCCGCCATGTTGATAATCTTCAAAGCCAGAGTCTATAAAGAGAAGCATCAAGATAAAGACTGAAAGCAGCAATATCAAATTTTAGTGTTTGAAAGATAGATTAAGATTGTACTTGGCCATTTGGAAACAAAGCTCTGTAAACAGGACCCAGGGATCCCTCCCCGAGAAAATTGCCTTCACTGAAGCTGTCTGTAGCTAATTGAAGCTCTCCCACTGAGTAAACTTTCGTCCTTCCGGAGAATCTGCGTCTTCTGGAAAAACTTCTTCTTGACGTGTCCTCTGCTCTGTTATGGAGCAGGGGAGGCAAAAGCCTTGGACCCAAAAGGGATGCAGAGTTGAATGGCGGGGTTCGTGGGCTTTCTTCTGGCGCGGTAGGAAAGGTTTCTATTACCAGAAAGAAAGAAATGATTAGCACAGAAGAAATGATGAAAGATGCAAAGACATTTATTGAGGCACTCTGTCGCCTAGCGGAATAAACAAAATCGTCCAAGTAGAAAATGGTCCTTGAAATGCCAAAAATTAAAATGTAATTATTGGCCATTGATTACTGTTAAAAGGTACAGAGGATTCAGTTGTATGTTTGGAGCGTGCTCTAAGTCATCATCTATATGCATTTCTCGAATATTACCTATGGTTGCGTTAGTTGGATGAGATTGCAATGAGCTGTGCCTGCTTTCAAAGCTTTTGAGTCTCTTTTCACTCAATCGATTCAAACGGATTGCAATGAAGAGGGCTACACCGGTAGCTATTAGCGTTCCCCCACCAACCATAAAAGCTACTTGTCCAGCACTCATAAGTTTTTTCTTGTGGCCACTTACTTTGCGAGATGAATGGTTCTGGATGGCATTTGCCTGAGTCGTGGGCGTGCGACTAAAGTTGTATACAACTGGTGCTCTATCCAAAGGAAAAACCCAAGGAGGAGAATTGGCTTCTGCATGGAATCTATTGCTTCCGATCCTGTTTGGGATGAAAATAGGGGAATTATTCAACGCAATGTGTGTAACTATTCAACATAATATGCAATTACTGAAATACGAACGCAAAAGGCAAAGAAAGGATGAGAATTTCCATGCTCAACTGAGAAGTTGTCACTAACCATAAATTTGGTATGGACTGAAAATGCTGGGGAATAATGCCGCTAAATAGATTACCTTGAATGTTCCTGACAACAGAGACAAGTAGCCAAATAATAGAACAGTAAACAAAACCTTTGAAAATTGTTGCACAGAAGATGACTTACAAATCTGTAAGTGGAAGGTCAGCAAGATATGTGACTGATCCAGTGAAGTTATTATTTTGCAAGAACCTGCATGTGAGCACGGTGCTAACAGATTAAACCATCACAATTACAATAACTTAAAGTTGCGTTCACCATTATCAATGCTTACAACAAAGTTAAGCATAAAAAGTTTGGGGAAAATAAGAAATGAAATTTACAATCTAGTAAGGTTTTTCAAGGAAGCAAATGAACTGGGCAGATCCCCGGTGAAAGTGTTATATGAAAGGTCCCTACAGAAAGGAATTTATCCTTAGTGAGATGTCACAGTTAAATAAATGTAATGGACGAGTAAAAACAAATATTTAGATTTCTATTTGCAAATGGTGGTTTATGCAATCCAATTTATTCCTCTCATTTCAATATATTTGCGACAATAGGAGAACTAGATGAAGACATGCATACATCTCTATGAGATTATCTAGGCCTGTAAAAACATTGCCAATGGGTCCAGATAACAAATTGTGGCTCAGATTCCTGCAAGAGAAGATAATTGCAATGGCTTGTCAGATATTAGAAACAATCACTCAGGCATGTTCAAAGGAGAAGAAGAAGATAAACTTAAGTTTCCTTGGTCTAAATTAAATCATGCAACTCACAAATGTCGTAGTCTTTTCAGCATGGGTAATGAGTAAGGAATATTTTGACCCAAATAGTTGCAAGCCATATTTCTGCAACAAAGAATCATCCGAACAACATGCTGGTGAAGGTAGAATTACGATAGTAAGCAATAGGTTAGACAGAAGGCTGGACTTGGCTTACATATGTGTGGCGTTCGGGGGCAAGCCGAATGGTATCTCCCCTGCTATGTTATTGGAGCTGACATCACTGGGAAACCAGAATAAAGTAAGTGCATTTCAGATCATCACTTCACTGTCCAGATAAAGACTTGAAATGCCATGTAATTACTTACATCATCTTCAAATTATGTAGATTATGGAGCTGGCTTCCGAGATGTCCTGTGAGATTGAATCCTTGAATGTTGCTGCATGACACGAAGAGACAAAGCAGGAATCGTGTTTATTGTCCGCTTTACGAAATATAAGAACGTCATCTATGTGGAATTTTTGCATTACAGGTGTATGACTGACGACCCAGAACATGCTACTCCTGTCCAAGATTCCTCACAAGGATCTCCAAGACTCCAATTCTCCAATACCGGCGGCCGGTTCAATGCCTTGTATAGGTCTCGGAGAGCTGTGACTGTTTACCCAAAAGTACAAGAAATAGAGTTTAATGAAGTTGAAGAAAGTCATTAAAAGTGTGATCTAGGAGAAAATAACCCGCATTTAGTTCAGGGGAAAATGATGAACTGTTGTATAATTGGCCAATGTAATTAATTGTGTAGTTCTTTGTCAGGACTTTCATCTAAGTTATCTCGAATTTATACAAACATTCTTCTTCTGTTTTGGTTCTTTTATGAAATGAAACCAATTTGTTCACTTAGACGTAAACGGGTCGTGGTTTTATATCACTAACATAAAAGCACAATAAATCTTCAAGCCAATATATCGGATATTTTCCTTAAGGACCCACTTTACGTACGCAATACTTAGCATGAAATCAGCATTAGATATTAGACTAATGAATACGCAGCAATTATCTGAATTACCGTCAGCCGGATCAGTAGACGCGGAACCCCGGGAAGTCAAAATTGCCGAGAAGACAATGATAATGAGATGCATATAGTGGCGCTTGTAAACCATTTTCTCAATAATAAGCGTACTGGTGAAGTGTACTGGTTTCTTTCCTGGAAAGAATGCCATTTGCAATCTGAAATTAAGCAAGAAAAGAGACGAAAAGAAAAGAAAGAGAAAAATGATCTAATTTCATGTATTTCTAACTTCAAGGACACTAAGATGAAGTCTAACCATAATCAAATTTGTAATTTCCTCTCGAACCCATATACGTAAAACAGTAGAAAGCAGAGTCTAAACTCGGAATTTGTCTAACTCTACCTGTGTTCTCAGTTTCCAAACAGAAGTTTTTTGGAAGCCGAAATGCAGTTAACGAAGAATCAGAGAAAGCGTCAAGATCGCAATGAAAGAGAAAAAGGAAAGAACAGAAGAGAGAAAATCACCAAGGTTTGGGCGTTTTAACTGTTTATTTAGTCTCTGGTAAAATGGGGTCCACTCAGCTGAATTCGTTGTATTCTGGCGCGAAACCGGCTATTAGGGGCCTCTCACCACAAAATATTTAATGGGCTTTTTTACCAAAAACATACTGGGCTTTCAAATAACATTTAAATCTCAATAGGCCCAATTGGAAAGTGACTGAGGTTGATGAGTAAATGGGCCTATAGAGGTTTTAAAGGTGTGTTTCTCCGGTTTACTGGGCTCCGGGGCGATCGCGGCCGGAGACATGAGGGAAGGTGAGGAGGAGAGCAGAAACGGAACTCAGGGGGAAGAACAAGATGAAGACTACATGGGGGATCTCTCTCAGTTTCTTCCTTCAGAAGCGTTTGGTCCTTCTGAATCTTTTCCTGGAAAGGTATTAATTTCTTTTCGTTCCATGTGTCCGTTGTATTTTTATTTTTCCCACTGTTTTTGAAGAAAATTTTATGACTTAGAGCGAGTGAAATATGAAGATATGAATTGGGTAATGCATCTTTCTCTGGGTCTTTGAAGATAGAAAGATATACAATAAATCCTGGGAATGCATTAGCCGGCTAAGTTTGGCTTCCTGGACTGAGAAGTTGTATCATCCATGTTATAAATTTCCTATAACCTCCTTTTTCCCTGTTCCTCAATATTGTTGGAAGAACAAAATTTTACAAATTTAATTCTTTGAAGAATTTAGTCGTCTTTATGCTGAGCTACATCCTGCTATCTAAAAGTTAGAGACGGCCAAATTGATTAAGCTGTCAGAATTATGCTTCCTTTTTTTTTTTTCCTTTTGGCCATCGTCAGAATTATGTTTCTAAAAGCATATAAATGCTAGTAATGTTTATTTCTTATGCCTTGGTGGTTTTAATCCCTTGGCAACACCTAAAAGTTTAAGTGTTAAATATATATATATGTATATATATCTTTCTGAAATTGCGCATATTTAGAGTAAAATCGCGTATGGCGATATAGGATCGGATGCACAGGCTATACTTAATACTCTCACTTTGGATAGATTGGTCTTTGGATGAAGAATCCAGAAATCATGATTTTTTGAGAGGAGAAAGCTCCCAGCCTATAAAGCATAGACAATTTAGAAAATGAACTGTGCCATGTCTGACATGTGTGAATCACTCACATGGAAATTACATATTTCTTGGTCTTGCGATGTCATTGTCTATGCTTCTTAGATGATAGTTTGCTAACCCAGGCTTTGCGTAACTCTATATCGAGAAAATAATGGGAATGAAAAAAGTGAAAGTAAAAACTTATCTTCCTGTTTGGCGGTTAGTAAAATATAAAAACAAGATCATATCTGAGCTTAGCATCATGCCATAGTTTGACTAGGTCAAGAGAACTGCCAGTTCCATGCAAAAAAAGATAATCCGTTTCTGTGATGCAGAGCTCTGACAAGAAAGCCACAACGATCAACTCTTCCAAAAAGCAGTTGAAAAATCTCAGTTGGCAAGAACGAAGAAAACTTGAAAGACAAAAAAAGCAACAAGAAGAAGATGAGCAAACATTGGCAAAAGTGGAAGCTCCGATTCCACAATCAAATATTGGATTTAAGCTGCTCAAACAAATGGGTTATACGCCAGGCTCTGCCCTTGGAAAGGAGGGTTCAGGCAGGGCTGAACCTGTAGGACTTGCTATTCGACGGTCACGAGCTGGTATAGGACTAGATGATCCCCACAAGGAGAAGAGGAAAAGGGAGGAGATGAAGGTGGAGAGGAAAAAGAGGAAAGAAGAGGCACTGATGGAAGAATTTGGGTTTAGGCAGAAGTCACATTGGCAGAGTAGGAAAATTGTAAGCAATTTCAAGAAGGCAAAGGCTGCTCTTGACCAGTTAGAGAACAGGGAAGTTATACCACAAAAGAATGAGGAGGAGGAGGGTGATGTTGATGAAGAGAATGAGGAAGAAATAACAGAAGAGGTATGTAACTTCATTCTTTTGTTTTCCAAGTGAAACTTCTTTAAGCTAATTTTGGTTATCGATATCTTATTACATGGGAGAAAGTCTCATTTGTTGAGATTGATGATCAAGCTTTATTGTAACATGGGTAATATAATGATACGTATGTATGGAATGTCGTCTCACTATGATATCTGGGCATGACATTGATTGGGTTCAAAGCTAACTCCACTGATACATGAGGATTGGAAACTTACTACTTTTATGCTGTCAAATGTAACGCATGTTGAACCCTGCCATGCCGGGCTAATTCTAATTGAAGTATGTTAGATCGCTAAATTGGCCATCCATTTCTAGATATGAATGTGTATATTTAAATTCAAATCCATGCAGTCGTGGGATTTTTTTTTTTTTTTTAACTTTTAAAATGATTGAATTAATTATTATTTTTAGCTCTGCTAAATATGGATTAATGTCTTTATAGAGTTAGGTTTTATAAACAGAGCTAGGGTCATCTCCATTTTTTTATTCTTAATGCGTGGAAGGTTGAAGATAGGCTCAAGGTGGATTTTTGGGCTGATTAACAGAATAATTTAAATAAATTGGATTGATTCTGAATCTGGTGCGAGTTGCTTGCTTGAGAATTGGATTGATTTTTTTCCTCTTCTTGATTATAGCTTGTTTTGTTATTTTTCCTACTCAATAATTGTTGCTATTTACATGATACTACCTCCAGTCCTAATTATAAGAGCCAGTTAACTAATTTGAGGAGATTAAAGAAGTAAGTTGAGTTAGTTATTTGTTCTAAATAGGTGTTGTTTTTCCTAAAATATCCTTGTTAATCAAGTGTATTAACTAGAACTATAATTATTAGAAGGATTATCTTGGAAAAAATTGAGTAAATATAAGAGACAAAGTGGATTGGGGTCTTATAATTAGGACTAAAATAAAAGTCAAATAGGATCTTATATTAAGGACCGGAGGTAGTATGTGCTTTAAAATGGTAACTTGGTTAATTTTCACCACCCTTGATGTAACTATTTTGATGGCGAGAATGTGATGTAAATGCAGGATTTACAGGATGTTCTGATGGAACTGAGGGATGAGCATCAGTATTGCCTCTTTTGTGGGTGTAAGGTAAGCAAACGCAAGATGTACTTTTATTATTGTGGCTGTTCGAAAATACAAGAAACTTCAATAATATGAAAGTACAACCCAAATTTAAAATCCTAGTGTCTAATTCTTTTATTTGATTTTTCTCTACATTGATCAGTATGAATCAAATGATGCTCTTTTGGCTAACTGCCCTGGGCCCAATGAAGATGACCACTGAACTGATGAGTTTCAGATGCGGACAAGCTCAGATTTTTTTTTCCTGTTGTCTCGAAAGTCCCATTATCTGCAAATGCAAATTGCATTGGAGATTGATTGATGTGCCTCGGCTAGCTGATCATTCTTTGAGGTCATTCTTGCGGATGCCGATGAAAAGCCGGAGCCTGCCTAGAGGCATTCATGTGTGAAGACTACCACTGAAGAATTCGCCTTCCTTGCGACTGCATCATGGGACAATTTATATAAACATCTTAGATTTCTATGGGTTGGCATGTACCTCATGAGCATCGTATTACTATCGTACATGTATTTTGAGAGCAATGTTGTAACTTGAGCACCTCCAGTGCTTGTCACTGTAAGGAATAAAGCCCTTAAATTGCTATTGTAACCATTCAACCAAAACTTGAATTGAGGGAGTATTGGGAGTGGGAATAGATGAAGCATCTTTTCTCATGCAATGTGTATGGAGGAAATATTTTCCTCTTATTTGTTAAAGATAAATGCTCATGTTCCGACGGTGGATCTGGGGCCAAATTTCAAGCCGTTAAGGCAGTGGCGGTGGGTGGAGGAGGTGGACACAAAGGATGAACCCATTTGAGGGATATAGAAGAGAGAAGGGTTGAGAATAGAAAGGGGGACAGGGGCTGGTGCTGCGTCATCATAAACCCTTTGCACAGAAAATAATGGATCCAGAAAGCAGAGGAGGACTATGACAAATGACAATTGACAGATGGCCATATGGAGTTCTTTTTCTTCCTTCCTCTATTTCGGAGCTCTACCTCTGCGCTCTGCGTCTTTTCTTGCCAACTCGTACACCTGGCAATTCCGATTCAACCATCGCTATCTTCCTCGTTCTCGTTTGTTTGGATTTTGGAAGACTTCTCCGAAGATGACAGGAAATAGAACAAATGCTCTTAGCGCGCCCAAAACTTTAAAAATAACAATAATAATAAATAAATGGTGGGCCCAAGAAAAGCGTAACACTCCTCTCAACAATAGGACTCAGTGAAAATAAGCTTAATGCCTATAATTACTTACAGATTGTTTAGATATAATCCAAACTATAGTTTTAAAAGTATTTTTATAATATAAGAAGTAAATATAAGAACGGGTTTGTCTCGTTTTATAAAAAAATATTTTTAAAAAACACTTTTATATGTTCTTAGAGGATGTCTGGATAAAATCAAATCATGGTTTGGAGAATAGCTTTTGAGAGAAAAGTTATTTTTGAGAATAGATTTTGAAAAAATAGATTTTGTAAAAAAATAATTATGATAAAATAGGAGTGTCTAGATAATTGTTATGAGAAACACTTTTTTAGGTACAAATTACTAAAAAGAATATAAGTTAATATAATAATTACATAAAAATATATTTTTATTTGAAGTTTTTCTATGATCTTTAATGTAAGATCTAATTAATTAATTTATGTAAATTAAGAATATTAGTTAAATTAGTTAATATGATTTTTTTAAGACACTCTAAGCATCTTTTTTAATTTTCTTCATCCCTCTCCTATTTGATTATTGTTGAGGGAACATCGATAGAATTAATTTAAAAAAAAAAGAAGATAACCATATAAAATAGACCTTATATTTAAGATCAATATTAACTCTCCAATTAGGTCCTACATTAAGGACCGGAATAATAAATTTGTTATTATTTTTTTTTCCAACATAATAAATAATCTGTAAAAAATATATTAATTAATTGTTAATATGTGTATATATATTTATAAAATATAAGATTAAATATGTTTTTAGAAAAATGAATAATTTTTTTCAATAGAAAAATATTGTTTTAAGTGGGGGGAGAACCAGTCAAAAAAACAGAAAAAATCAAGGAGGAGAAAGAAGGAGAAATGTGAAGGCTTGAAGATCTGACACTAATGGGACAAAAAATTTCAACTTACAGCAACGTCCAGATTCGTTCAAAAAGCGAAAAAAATTTTGCTTATGACAAAACCAAGGTTTTGACAGTGTAAACCATGGTTTCATGACAAAACCATGATTCCAAAAAATAATAGGGTGTTCAGATACTTTTGGGACCAAACTTCGGTATGGGTTCCAAACTTTTCTCAAATTTGCCAAACACTTCCTTGAACACTCCTTTAGTGTTCAGCTGTGTTTTGAAGAAAAATGACTTTAGTTAAAAATATGTATAGATAAAAAAAATCAATGAAAATATTTGGGTTAAAGCCACATTCAGTTCTAATTATAAGATCTTATTTATAGTCTATAAATAAGGTCTTGTAATTATAATTGGGAGCGGAGGTAGTAGCAAATATAGATTGAGTTGTTATAGAATACAGTACTCACTTATTACTTGTTTTTCCGTGGGAAACAATGGCATTAACAACTACTGGTACAGTCTTCAGTGCCCAGGCAATCAACCCATCTGCAGAGCTTTCACTTATAATTATTTTATTTTATTGGGCAATTCAATTGACTGAAATTGAATTTATCGAGAAAAATACTAATATTAAAACGCCAACAAGGTTTACGAAGAAGGCTTCAACCCTGGAGCTCCTCTCAGGCCAAACTCAAGAATAGGGCCTCGCATATCGCATTGACCTTCCAATGTGCTCAACAATTACAAAATCGTGAAAGTCATGAGTAAGGAATCGATTTGTAATTCATAAAATTATGAGTTTGAATTCTACTACTTATATAAAAACCTTTGTTGATGGACACTCTGTAAATATATATGTAAATATTTTTTAAACCTGAAAGTATACATTAATTCTGGTAAGACTTTAAGACCCAACCCACCTAAGTTTTTTTTTTTTTTGGTATCCAAAAAAAATCGTAAAGGTAAAGTGCTGGAAGTCTGGAACCGAAAGAATTTTCTGCCGTGGATAAAGAGAGAATCATCTGTTTGAAACTCGCGTGACCAGCACTCTGAGAATATGTTCATAATATCCATCATTGGGAAGATTGTTACGTGTTGGCAACAAGAGTTACTAATTTTGCATTACAATATGCTCCCTGCCTCCATCAGTGTCCCCATATCATATGTTGTAGCCGTATAGATCTCTTGGTCTCACCAGCAAGTAGCATTCCAATTAAAATGCCTCTCAATCAGCATAGGGACACTCAATCCATAACATGAGTTACTTATTAGGTTATTGGGAACACAACAGTCAGTTTTAAAATTCGCGACCAACCTGCCAGGATTCCATCTAATATTCTTGCTTCAGATTTTTACTGATCTGCAAAAATTTGAGGAAGCTAAGCAATGGGCATTGCTGACATGAAATCTCAAGTAGATAAATCAACAGAACTTCTTAAAGGAAAAGCCTAAGATAATTGAACTACTTCGTGATCAAAGGAATTCTATAGACTTTGAAAAGTTTCTATAGAGATACAATGTAGATACAAGTACTACATAAGGCAATATGAAGCTTAGAAAGCTCAGAGAAAACAACCCATTTAAAGGAATAGCATACAAAAGTCACAACATATGAAACGAATAGCCATAAACCACTACATGAAGTCTTCTAGGATTGACTGAATCCATTTTCATCAAAAAAAAAAAAAATCTCCACGGAGGCCGAAAACCTCACTTGCAGTCTACTCCGGCTTCAGCAGCACGGCGAGGTTTGTTTTTCCGCCTGCTTCCATTTTGTCGGAACCCAGCAGTCTTTGTTGGAACATCTGAGCTTGACTTATTGGTTCTGATGCCATTCTCTTCTTTTGTGGTATCTATTTTTTCTTTGATCTGTACGGACCTCTTCCTTTTCTTCTTATTTTCTGGGACAAGCTGAGTTTTCATCTCATTGCTGGAAACATTACCGTTCAAGTTTTCACCATTTTCTCCAATCTTTTCAGTTGTTTCTACTTCTTCAATCTCATCCTTCAATGGCTTCTGTGGCCTTCCTCTTCTTCTGTAGGCAGGAATTCTTTCCTCTTCACCGCTTCCGGGTTCCTCCTGCTTAGAAGTAACGGTCTGCTTCTTCCCCTTTCCTCTGCCTCTGCCCATCGTCCAAAGTACCTTTGACGAGATCTACTAAATATCTCAAGCAGATATCTGCAAAGATGAAACGACCACGCCTATAGCACCAAGTGAAGATCAATCTATAAACTGAATGGTAATGATGTGCTCAAACCACGGATTTATCTCTGACTTTTCTAATACTTCGGTTGAATTTCACAAATAAAGGGAAAGGAGTAATAGAAAAAAATGAGAGAACCAAAATACCATCAAGCAAAACTATTGAAACTAGTTCAGTGGTGATTCTCTGGGTAGTAGTCACTTTCATAAGCTTTGGGTTTGCATCCACTCTTCCTAGCTGTCTAATCTTCACTTTCGAACATTACAAAAAGCATCTAGCAAGAACCTAAGAGGGGAATGAATAAAGAATTACGCATCATTTAAAATCATTCCCCTGAACAATAAATTGAACCTCATTTAGCGAATTGAATCTGATCGCTAGACAGAGCAAATCATGCCCTCTTCATCTGGGCAATTATATGGAGTGACCCAATCATGCCCTCTTCATCTGGGCAATTATATGGAGTGACCCAAGCTAATAATAATATCAATGCTCAAGAGAAACAAATGAACAGTATAGAATCACGGGAATTAACAATTTTAGATTCTCTTTGGTCAAGATATCCGAAAACGTGATTGCCACCTAATCCAAGTCCAATCTGAGTGAGTATTTGTAACTTTTTATCGTCTTAACAAGTATAACTAAAGATTAACAATTTTGGTCAGTGTTCTAGCTTATTCTCAGAAACCAAAGAGACAACAAGATTTATCAAAAATACAAAAAAATTTCCATGAAATGAAGACTTCGCATCATATACGAGTAAGAAGCAAGAGACACTAGGAGAAATGAGGCTGACCTGGTATCTGCTATCTGCTTTCTGCATCTCAAACACGAACCATTTTATAAACTCTGATAAGACAAATCCAGGAACTGTGTGAACCCAAAAGAAAGTATAGCCTTTTCTGTGAATGGTCTGAAGTAAAGCATAAGAGACGCTAGAAAGTGCTAAAAAATTTGATCTGGGATAAAAATACTGAAGACTTAGATCAGGAGCCGATGTGCCAAAATAGAAATAGCAGCCAAAAGATTGAAACTTGATAAGTGCAGGCGGGACTAGGTCTGAAAGCAGTGGCCACAGGGAGCAAGAAAGAAGACGAAGGAGGAACTAGTTAGAGCCAAAGAAAGAAAATGGCGATCAGAATGTATAAAGATTTTTTTAATTATTTTTTTAATGTGCAAAGGGTCCGGTCCTGCCGCAACTTACAATTAAATAAAAAATCAAAAGCGATGGCGTTGTGTGAGTCATTAATTGGCCGCAATGTAGACATATACGTACATATTATAACTATTCCGTTCAAAATTGTCGGGGGAAAACAAAAATCAGAGCAATGCTTGTTATAAACTTATAATTATACTGATATTAGTGATTCGGCAACGATTGTTGAAAAGTAAAGGGCAATAAATGATTTGAAAAAGAAATAACTATTGCCCAAATTTATGCATTTACTTAAAAGAAAGCACTGCATAAATTTCGCAAAATGAAATTCCAGACTGTTGGCCCAAAAACCAGTTTGATAAGTTGCTGGCATGCCTTTAATTTAAGTTTTTTTCTTTCTTCCGTTTAAATTGGCGTATATATTTCAGAACATGAAAATTTTTTGACTCAGACTACAGTAACATCAGATAGGGGACGTCACACAGTTGGGCCGCGGCATAATAGCTGCAGTGCCATTTGTGATAATGGCATTTGACATATTCGGATGATGAATCATCTAATAATGGAAAAACAACTGGCTCTAAATTTGAAAATGTTCAACTGCAATAGGAAATGTAGGCCGCCTAGTCAAGGATTCCTAAGCCGATATAGACGGGTGGTGGTGGGCCAATAGCTTGCTATCAAGATTACGATGCTGGCTTACTGTAGGAATTCGAATGAGCGTTGCAGCTAAATCTTTCTTAGAATCGTTTGTCTACAAATAGCTGGCCACGAAAAACTCATCTCCAACGACAGTAAGTAACCCATCTTGCTTGGTTCTCAACAGCTCGATTTCTAATCTCCATGAAACAAGGAACTCCTTACTGCTTTCCCACAAATATTATTCGTACAGTATACAGCCTACGAAATCTAAAAATTCAAACTAGAAAATTGACCCAAGACTTTAAACTCGTCCAGACAGATCATGCAGAAGAACAATTTCGTTCTTTAATTTAATTTAGCATCACGCATCCCGTTACAAGTTATAATTAAAAGTATACAGAACACCGCCGCTTGACTTTGGTCTGTCAATGAAATCTCCACCCACCATCCACTGTCACTAAGCCGACCCGGGGATATTAAAAAAACAGACTTTTAAAGATAGAGACAACAGAGAGCGTGACGCATAGTAAATAGCTGGTGCTACTGGAGAACAAGGCAAAGAGACGAAGAATCAATATCACCATGTTTAGCTGAATTTAGTTATTGCTTAGGATAGTAACATGGGTAGTTGTTCATTCCAACAGGCGTAGTTGACTTCCCAGAAACAGGAGGATAAGGTGCAGGTGCGGCGGGAGGACTTGGATAAGAAGGCGCAGGGTATGATGCTACGGGCTGAGGGTAATTGTAGCCAACATGGGGATTGCTAATATGTGTTTTGACATGCTGCATCTGCACATAACCCGGAGCCATAGGTAAGGCTGTCATTGGCACCGCTGATGGCTGTCCTGTCTTACCCTTATGGGAATCCGCATATTTTACAATTACGTTCCTCCCCTGCAACCAAAGAATGCAATGTGCAATAGCTTCAGTGTCTATACAGCACAACTCCTGAGGCAAATTAATGCTATGATAAGAACTGTGATTACTAAGGTTATAGCCTAGAAGTGCTACCAAGTTACGTTTCCAAGCATTATGAATAATAGTTAATGTGATCAGAGGCTCCGTAGCATCAATCAAACACAGATGAAAGCATAAATCTTCTCCACCGCATATGCTCCTATAATTTAGCAGCCAAAGCACTTGAAAACTTCATGCCTGAGTAAGTTTCATAAATCTGCATTCTTTTGCATTAGACCAAGAAACGCCAGAGAGAATTGCTAGCTAACATTCATTTAATTAACTAATTTTTGACATATCTCCCAATTCCACTTCTTATGGAACAGAATTTGTTGGAATTTTCATAATTTGTTTTTATCAAGTATGGTAGGAAAGATTTGACTGTTCAATTCTTTTTTCTTTTTTTTTTTCTGGGTTGGGGGGGGGGTGTTTCACTCAATGATCTTTCTAGCTTTCATGCTGCAACCCCAAGCCATTCTTCTTTTAGCATAGCAGCAATCAGGTCCAATGATCAAACCACGATTAAAACAAAAATTTAAGAGTTTGCATACCCCAAGAGTCTTTTCTGGATCATCTATTGCCTTCTTCGCAGCTTCTGCAGTCTTGTATGTAACAAAGCCAAAACCACTACAACTCAAGGTAAGATTGGCAGGTTGAAAAAAATCAGGTACTTTAGTAACTTCAAAGAAATCAAAGACAATAAAATATTGTATCAAGGAGAAAAAACACGTTCACACTCTCACCGAGATTCATTTGTATCTTTGTCATATGCAACTGACCCTTCCTCTATTTCACCATGCCTCCCAAAAAAGTTGAGCAACATTTCACTGCTGACTTCTGGTGATAAGCTTCCAATGTACAGCTTCCTCAGGGAAAGATCAGGGGCATTACTTGCTCCGCTTAGACCCTCACAAGCTAGATTACAGACAGCCAACCTGCCCTGGGAGCCAGAAAGCCCTAAAATCAACTGAGGGGATGTGGCATAGAAGACGACAGACTAGCAAGTAAACTTTAGGTTTAAAAAGAAGGAAAAAAAAAGACAATGCCATCTAAACAATATCTTAGGAGGCATTAGACTAAGGATACACCACCAGTGAACTTCATTTGAAAGCCATACACTATATTCTCCTTTGTTTCACAATGCCACTTTGTCCGCATGTTTCATTACACAGAGAGCAAGACAATGAGCTTAAGCTTACATCAATCAACTTGCTTGGGGCTCTTAATGCACGATGAGTTGATTCCATATGTTTGTAAGTGATGAAACCATAACCACGGGATTTTCCAGTTGCTTTATCATAGATAACAGCCCCTTCCTCAATTTCTCCATGTTCTTGAAATGCCTGAAAGCAAATATAAATCAAAGATGTAATCTATAAAAGAAGGAAGACTTCAATTTTTAAAACCGAGAGACTGTTGAAGCTCAGGAGAGGGTACAGAAATGAAAATAGAACAAAATATGCCATCCCATCATTAAATCATCCTGGGCTTGTTCCTCATGATATGCGACAAACACAAGCATGGCACACTAAACACAATCAACAATCAGCAATGCACTCACAGCACACAAGGTTTCTGAACTGGTATTCCAGGCCAAGCCGCGAACAAAAAGCTTTCGATGAACAGGATCTGCACTTGCAATACTTTTTATTTCTTCTGCAATCGAAGGATATTGGGACCCTCTTTATGCCTCAACATGCAAACAAACACATGTGCACACGGTCAATCACACAGCACACAATTGGGTGCAATACGTTTATGGCCCATTTTCAATGAATACACGTGCAGTCATGCAGAGTGCATGCACCACGCACTAGTTATTCAGAGATCACAAATAGGCAAAGACAAGAGAACTAAGATCACGTGTGCATATTATATGCATCGAACTACATAAAGCGATAAATGCAATCACAGCAGCCTCAGACATTTAATGAAACTAATCTCAGGCCACAACGTATTTTATGCTGCACTCTATAACATTCGGTCGCAATAGCCGTCTATGTTAGCCTGTTGTTACCCAAAAACAATATCTAAAGACTTCAAAATAAAATATACTTACTGTATCAGAAAAGAAATAATGTTCTTAAATGACGAGTGAACAACGCCAGGAAAAGTTAGATAAACTGGGAAACAAATCTTTCATTCCCGCCAGTATGCAGGGGGCTGGACTAGCAACAACTATGGATTAGGGCCAAGACAGTTTAGTCCTTAATATAATTCACACAAAATGTTGTGGAACTTCCATAAGATTGGAGAGTCGACGTCAACGACGAATCAGTAGAGATGTCAATTTAGAAAGTACACGATGGGCGCACTTGTTTTTGTGCGTGGGGGACTTGCTTAAGAGTGTGTGGCGCGAGCATGCGTGTATGATAACGCGACTGTAATTCTAATCCTAAAGAACAATCTGACAGGTCGGCCGCAGAAATGGGTTCAAGTTCAATAGAATCTAATAAGAAGCCTACGATTAGAAAGTCAGTTGAATTAAACAAAAAAGAAGAAGCAGAAGATATTAGAGCACTGAATCCCTGCAACAAGGTTTCAGTGAGTCAAGATAATAAAGCCAGAACTTGGTAAGCAGGAAACATACAGTTTAGCGAGAAGATCAACAAGCTGGGGTTTGGCCAGCGGGTCAAGGAGAAGGCGAAGCTCTTCCTTTGAAGAAGCATCGCCGTTGCCGGCCTCTTCTAGCTTTCTCTTCTTGAAATCATCCATCTTCGGTTCCTGCTCTCCGGCTTCGCTCCTCCTATCTTCAGCAATCAGAGGGTAGCGAATTCGTGTACGCACCGGCACCGCATTAGGGCTTGCCTTTTATGGGCCCAACCCGGCTTCTAAAGCCCAACGCTTTCCAGCGGATCTTGCCTTATCTTATTTTTTTAAAATAATCTTTATATCACATTTTAATAGGAGTATTATTAGAAAACAGCGATCTTTTAAGTGTTTTGCTTTAGGAATTCGGATGTTGCGATTGAACGGTTGTTTCACTGAGAAATTAAACGCCTTTAGCCAAAAAATAAACAATGATGTATAATAAAAATTTAAATAAAAGTAAATAAAATTTTGATAAAATGGTATTCATGTTTCTACTGAAAAATAATAAGATTTCAAATTTTACAATATTTAATCATGTTATGCAGATATTAATATGATTTAATTCAGTCAAATAGTCTCATTATTTTCCGCAACTTTTATAATATTTAACCGCATCATGCAGGTATTGCCGGAATCTGTCACAACAAAGAGAGAATCGTGCCCTTTACTGCTTTCTCAAAACACAAGAGCTTGGGGTCGTCATCACTCATGAGCGAGGCCCCCGTCCCACCGGACAACTGATCAACATTCTTATCATGCCTTTGAAGTATTTGTAAAAATGTCTAGGAAAACCTGCAGTCATCAATTGACTCCAATTTTGAGAGGGTCAAATGAACCTTTCAGAATTTCAAGTGGATGATTGCTATGAATAAAAAAAAACAGAAGCTGGGAAATGACTGGTCGAAAATTAGAGATACACCGTGTTTCTTAAATAGAACGAAACGCAGAGAAATCAAGACAGTAGCACTGTACTGTAATGACGCAAGATCTCTTCATCTCAAATTCTCATTCACGATTTTTCTTACTTCCTTCCTTCATTTATGTTTTCGGGTCAATGAAACAAGGATTCACATTGCTTCTGGTTTCAAAAGGGTATAGTATGGAAGCACACCGGTCTCATGCACTAATCTTTAAGTACCATAACAAAATTGTAAGGTGTGGGCTCTCTGTTCTGTTGCTTGAGATGAGTAAGCTTTGTTGGAAGACTAGAATTGCTTGTCCCGAGAGAGCTAACTTATCTTGGAAGGAAAGAAAGAATTCCCAGACCCTTCAAAAGTTGATAATTCAACACCTCTATGATTATTTGATGTATCGTTATTATCATTGGCTGTGCTGCTCAAATTCTGAGTATTCAAGAGGCTATCACTCGTCTTTTGCTGCTGATCAAACATCTTCTTCAGCTGCCTCCCCTGTTCCTCAATTCTCAACTGCAACTTCCTCTGAATCTGAGTTCGCCAATCCAAATTTGAAATGAGAAAAAAGAATTATTGGAATCACAATCATGAAAGCTGCTCTAGAGCATAAAATGAAAATCAGCAGTGAAAAGAATAACAGCATTGATAGATAGATGTACCTCTAGCTGTTCATGAAGGCGCCTTTGAACATCCAACTGCAGGTGAAGCGCCTCTCTCAACTGCAACCCACTGCAAATGAAGAACAGAGATACTAGTAAATGGATTATGCAGCAACAGCACTTCGTGCTGATATGAGGACCAAGAAGCTTAATGCAATCACTAAAATCATGAGATGGACGGCATTACGTTTTGGTGTCAAGATGAAGCACATCTTCTGCATTGGATCTTTTATCAGGCTTTCCTGCAACGGGAATCAGTTTATTGAGATCTTTTATGGTGATTGAGTGAGCCTCTTAATTTCAAAGAGAATAAGAAATAACATAGGCATAGCAGATTATATGGATAACTTAGGAGTAAAGAAAATGGCAACAGAACAATCAGTCATATCCGAGATGAGCATTGTAGTTTTCAATCTGATCCTCAAAAAAAGTGGATCGCATCCGCATAATAGCCAAAAATTTCCAACATATTTTCATGATACAAACGACAAAATCATTTCTTATGCTATGGAATTACCCTGAGCTGAGTCTGGCATGTATTTTGCTATTCTATATTTCTGCAAGACAGATGGGACAAGAATATGCTTCGTTGATTAGTATCGTAATAGTAAAGGAACTGCCACACTCTGTGAACAAGGCACATAGGAAGAAAGGGTCACACCTGCAAATGACTCTTCACATGGAAGATGGTCAATCCATCAGATTCCATCAGCTTTAATATAGCTTTTGGCGTCGCCTCTATAATCAAGCAGACAAGGAGACAGTGAGATATAAATATCACTTTCCTTCACATCGATATTTACTGAAATTTACTTACTTTCAGCACCTCCAAGGCGATTCACACACTCAACAAACTTCTCATGAAGATCCTGGTTCCACCTAATGCGAGTTTTGCTTGAGACTGCTGTCCCATTGGAACCATGGTTGCCGGAAACAGTTGACACACTCCCTTCTGATGTAAGTGGCGGAGAAAACTTCTCTTGCTGAGAAGAGAAACTCATCTGATCAGCATGTAAATTATATGAGCCAAGACCAACCTGCTGAAAGAAGCAGTAACATGAAGGAACAACAAAACAGAAATAAACGACGAATCCGATTCGCAAAATCACTTGCCGTATGATCCTGATTTCCCTTATAAGTTGAGCTCCTCTTAACTAAGGCAGCATCGTTAATAAACAAGCTGTGTTGTTGAGTAGGATTGGTGGTGGGCACATTCCCATAAGAAACTTTATTGGATTTTTCAGGGGATCTATAGTATTGGTTATTAATCGATGGAGATTTCACCATGGCTTGCAGGGTATTGGACAATTCGACGCTGGGATCAGACTGATAAAGAGGGAACTCCAAGTCATTAAGCTTGGGAAACTGAGAGGTTAGAGATGGATTACCAATCTGGGAATCATATTGCTGAACCTGAAACCCCATGCATCGTTCTGTGGCGTAAAACGCAGAAGCTGGAGATTCAAAACGGCTCATGATGGTGGGGGCGGATTTTGCAGGGCCCTGGTTTGGTGGCTGTTGGGCTCCTCCTCCGGCGACGGCGAGTGTTTGGCTGCAACTTCCCATATTCCACGCCTGATTAATATCCACGTATTCACAAAAACCATTAGCAAACTCAGAATTACAATCCCCGTTTAGTCCGTGGCTCTGCTGAACTTGAACTCTCCCTGAGAAATCAACCATGTTCTCATTCATTTACGAGCTTGTTTGGGATAGCAAAAGCTGAGGCTAGATTCTGTGCAGATTTGTATCAGAGAAAGAAAAGAAGAAGATTAGATCAGAAGAATGGCAAGGCAACAATAGGAATGTCAAATTGGAGACCCTGGCATAAAATTCTTTCGCTGTATTCCAGAAGGCTTCAGGGACAAGACTTGAATCAAGCTGTCTAGATGCTACCATACAAGGCTATAATTTAATCTTGTAATTTATAAAGGGCTGGAAAATTAATGGGGAATTATCAATTGATATTGTCAAAGTATAAAAACCAGGGAAAACAAAATAGGTTTTTGTATAACGTTGTCCTCACGTGAATTTCAAATGAAATGCAAGGGAATCAGAGAACTTTTAAAATATAGGAAAGATACATGAATCTCGAATGGAGGATGAAAATTACCAGCAGACCCGTCTATTTCGAATTGATCGCCTTAATATTGGAGAATATTGTTATGGGTATCTATAGTGTAATAATTAAACGTTAGATAAGATGCCGGCATAAATTCCCTCAAAGAATAGATCTGCAATTATTCTTGTAACGGATTCGGACGAAATAATTTAGGAAAATTGAGAAAGGAGAACTCTAATTAGAAATTTTATTGGCAAGAAATATTTAAATTAGAGCATTAGTACTAAAATTTTCTCAAAATAACTTTAGCCACCCATGAAAGGCTGCTAATTATTGTCATTTGATTTGCACACGAGATAGCCAAAACTTTAGTCCTCGAAAAAAACGGACAAGGGAAAAAAAATTTGTAAGTCTTGCCCCATCACTGCATCTGGCAAAGTGGGAATCGGGGACAGAAATTACCAGAAAAGTGCATCTAATATTATATTCAACCTGACAAAAAGGTACAAGTAGGGAGATTCCCAGTGGCGCTCGCAGTTGAATAAACTCAATGGGGCTTCCATTAACAAAAGGTAAACAGATTGAGACAAAGGCAACGCATTCATGTGCCATTACAGAATTTTCTCTCGATATTTATGTGGCAGTGCTGTGAATTTTACGGCCTCCCTGAGAATATTTGACTTTTTACTGTGATGTGCTCTGACAAAATAAGGAATCCCCTTTGCCCACACAATAAGAAGGGACTGCTAGAGGTGCATCGTCCAGCATTCAGGTGTGTGTCAAATTTATTAATGTCCTGGATCATTGACGAACCGCTAAATTCTTCTTTCTTTCTTTTTTTAAAGAGAGTATTTATTAAAATATTTAGTCTGTAGTTGATCTCATATTAAAGACAAGAAATAATAGTACTAATATATGTACACTCTTGCTGGTCCAAAAAATATATTTGTGCACTCTTCTTTTTCTGTGTACACAAATTAAAGACTCCTGCGGTAATTAAGGTTGAATCAAATTATTAAAATAAAACAGTTTTTTAAACTCCTATTTAGGACATTGTTATTAAATATGAATACATATTTTAATAAAGTTTGAACATTAATTTGTTATGTTAGGAGAATTTAGCTTTTTTGGCCAGATTCAGTTTTTTTTTTTTTTGCTAAAGCATAGGTATTCTCCTATTGGAGACAATCCTATTCAAGGTACTGTCGGGTACTAAATGTGAGCACCTCTCCCAGTGGAGATTCGAACCTTGTTTCACTACGTTGTGGGAGATTAGCTCTTTCTGTTAGACCCAAACTCCATTGGTGATTCAGCCTTTTTGATAACAAGCAGACAGTTTATTGATTTTTTTTTTTTTTTGCTAAAGTATAGATATTCTTCTACCGGAGGTAATTCTATTCAAAGTACTGTCAGGCACTAAATGTGAATACTTTTCCCAATGAAAATTTGAATCTTAGTTTATCACGTTGTGAGTGATTGATTCTTTCTACTAGACCTAACTCCCACTGGTAATAGGTTATTGATAATGAAGTTGTTTTCAATCCCCATGACTAATTGGGCTCCGTGGCCATTGGCTATGGGCCTCGAATCTCCATGGCTCCGTCATACACTGGCACAGAGAATAAAACTAGTCCTGTTTTTTTTATTAAAAAAAGTGCATAATACTTTCTGCAGCTGTTGTTACATGACATTTTCAATTAATTTGCAGGAATCAATAAATAAAAGTTAATTAATTAGGCTTTTCTTCACTTATTTTTTTCCTAACGTTAAGTTAATAAAATTATTTAATTCTGCTGTTATTAATAATCTTGAGTGTGAGAAAAAAAATCGAAGAGCTGTGTTTGAAAAAATTATAACTCTTAGGGTTTGTTTGGTTGGAGGGGAGGGGAGGGGAGCCCCTCCCCTCATTTGGTTAAAAATTTTGGAGGGGAGGGGAGCTAAAATGTCCCCTCCCCTCCCCTCCCTCCCTTCTCCCATTTTGGCTCCCTTTCAAATTGGGGGTTTTTGAAGGGGAGCTAAATTTTTGGACCATTATGCCCTTATAGTTTTTTCAATATTCCACTTCTATCCATAAAATATATTATTATCATATTTATTTCAAATAAAAAATATATTATCCTAAGTAAAAAAATAAAAAATATATACATTATTATAATTAAAAATATATTATAAAAATTATTTAAATAAAAAATTATAATATTATAAAATTAATTGTTTTTTATAAATATATTATTTATTAAATATATTTTAATGCTGGAAAAAAAGATAGCCTAAAGAGAATAAAATTTCATTTTTTTTAGAGCATATAAAATTTATTAATTTGATTATTTTAAATATATTATTATATTAATTAGAATAAAAAATTACTGTACCAATTTTTTAATACACATATAACATGATAAGACTAAATTTTTATTAAATTATACCTCCCCTCCCCTCCTTGAACCAAACAAGGGATCATTAAATATCCTCCCCTCCCCTCCTTTTTAATCAAACCAAATAGGGTGAGGATGAAACCCCTCATCCCTCCCTCCCCTCCCCTACCCTCCCCTCTCCTCCCCTCCCCTCAAACCAAACAGGCCCTTACACACGGTATCGCTGGCTAATAAAAAAAAGAAATTAAGTTGGTTTATTCAAGTAAGAGCATTAATAGCTAGTTTAATGGCACAAAACTTCAGAAACCCTGATAACAAGTCACGGGAATTGCTTTGGAAGTTCCGGAGTGGATAATTAATAAATGTTTTGATTAACGAACATAGTGATGATGATGATAATGAAAATCATTGAGCTGAAGATTAAAAAAAAAAAACTTAGGGAGGATTATCTGTTATGAAGATGCAAGAAAATGCAAACATATAATTTATGGGGGAGCGGTCTAAATGTCGTTATCAGGATCGTTGGAATAATGAAACTAATTAATTAACGTGATTACCGATTAGCGTTGAAGTTAAGTGGGGACAGCGAGATTCCTTCCGTAAAATATCAGACTCTTAAATTGAAGCCGACAACAAATCATCCAATGCTTCTCACATTAAATTTTGATGGTCCTGTTGCTTTAATTATCTTCGGACATCAAATAAACAAAATCATCTTATAATTACGTTTATAAGAAGACGAGCAGCTTTTTTTCAAGTGATTTGAATTTATTCGAAATGACTATATCCGAATCAAAACAAGCGTTCACACTTCGTCTAGTTCCTTCAGTTTTGGCTCCTATGTATAATCCTTTATGTGCATAATCTAAATTGTTCTGAGTATTGCAGACCCTTTTTTTTTTCCTTTTGTACTCCTCCTATCATTAATATATAAGATCTAATTGTTGAGTTAATTTTAATCCTAAATATAATATCTATTTCTCATATTTATCAATTTTTCTTAAATTATCTTTATGGATCATTCTTCAACCATAATCAAGTAAAAAAGTAAGAGATGATATTAAAAAAATATGATTATGGTGTTTTAAGAAAAATATGTCATAATTTCTTATAATTAACTAACTTACCTAACTTCTTTAATCTAATCAAATTAGTTAAATACGTCTTATGTTAAGGACCGAAGGAGTATTTAATAAATTTGTTTGGAAAGGGGAAAAGAGGCTAAGATATGTAAGATATGCTTGTTTGTGCTTTGTTAACGTAGCAATGAAAAGCTCTTATTATAATCCTTAATACTCAAGCTAATTGATAATTGCATTTGATCCTAAATATAAGATCTCAGTTCATTGTCTTTTAAAATTATAATTCATTTTATAAAGTATTCCTATTGATTACACGTATTAAGAAGGTCTTAATCTAGAAGTAATAATGATTAAAATGATACTTTAACTCATATTTGTTAAAAATAACTAACCTAATAAATTTTTTTACTCATATTAAGCATCACAGGTAACATTTTGATGTGTAATGCTAGCTGAATGGGCATTTCATGTGATTGAAAGAACTGAAAAAGTGCTTTTTAATCAAAATCAAGGTTCACTCAACGCTTCCATCTAAAATGAAAACTAGATTCCCCCCTCCCCTCTCCTCTCACAAAAAATCATATTGGTTTGGATTAAATAACTCACCGGCACAGCCTTTTGAAAGTGATTAATTCCCCCGACATCCTTTTTTTTCCTCAAAAACTAATCCAAATAATTCTGTAAAAGCAAATCTAAACACGTTCATTCCCGAATCACTCAATCCCAGAGAGGTGGCATATCATATAGCTTAGTGGCTTGCCAGCCCAAGCCTAAGACTAGCTATAATCTACCAAAACACTTGACTAGGCCGGTTGGGATTGAGCTGTAACTCTCTGCTTTTGTGTGCCTTCGCCGGCTGTGTATATCAACAACAATGTCCGAGAGGAGTTGACTTCAAAAATGTTTGCATTCAAATTCTAAGAGACAATTTTATATATATTTTCTTTCAGTTATAACTCATCTCATAGTATAAATTATAGTATAAAAAAAATTTATATTTAGGATCAGAAGAGTATATTATATTCAAACTTGCCTTTAATTTTCCTAAGAATAATCGCTGAGAAGCGGAGGTTCGATTGAGGTTGGTTGTTTTTTTCTGATCCCTCCTATATATTTATGTGTTCCAATTAAAATGAGCATTACTCCCCGTGTGTGCGCGCGCGCGCGCGCGCGCTCGCCCCTTTTCCCCATATAGAAACCAAGACATGTTTTACGATGAAGCTTTCTAGATTACTGCATTATTCATATGTCACGAAGCACGACGCCGCCGTTAATGCCATTTCTTTTGTTCGTCCAATCCCATATTTCTGTGAAGCATTGATCTCGACGTCGAATAAAAAAACACACAAACAAAAGAAGTAATCATCCACTCTATTTATTTATATATATGGATATATACAACCATTCTATTGTGAGTCAGTACGAATGGCATGAAAACATTAGAAGATGATAAGATTGGGA